ACTTGCCAGTATTGTGGCAAAGGACGATGTGTTTATAGCACAAGAGCAAGAAATGGAAGCACTCGTAAGCAAATGTAACAAGTGGAATAGGCGTTTTTGTCCAGATCATCAAATCATATCGTGCCCGAGTTGTGATCAAAATATCACAGAATAAGATCAATCTGTTGATTAACTTTCTAATTAGGTGATATTTTTGCCAAAATAACGGGTCAAACGACTATTTAAACTACTTTGGTCTCTTGGACTCTAAAATATTTGAAAAATATTGAAGTATTTCTTTTGGTTTTTAATAAGAGTTCATGAAATAATTTCTCACTTTTTTTAAATTATTTAGTAAGAAATATAGTTGATGTTTAATATTATAAATTGTTTTACTTGTATTAAATAAGATTATCAAAAATAAACCCATATCATAATGGGGGACATATGTCACCCGCGCGAGCACTCTAGGAGTATTTAGGGGCGCGAGCACTCTAGTGTTAACAAACCACGTTCTCATGGGCCAACACATCCAGTTTCTCTAATGGCTCTACATTCGCCACCTGACTCGCCAAATCTTTTCACTCGAAGAGAAGTCTATATGATTGCTCCCACGCCAACAATAGGGACACCCGCGAAACTGATTGTCTTTGAATCGATTCAATTTCACCTTACAAACGCCATGGATGACGTATTAATCAAGCAAGAAATTAGCTCCATTCAATACAGGCGGTAACAAAACGTTTGGTTTGGCGTCTAGAGAGTGATGCAGGTTTTCACCGAATTCCTAAGTTAGCAGAACGAAAGTATTGCCAATCGATGCTTTAACGGTCAGGATTATCTCTTGCGTAAAACCGCTTAATCGAGTTACGTCCAGTTGTATGTCGTAGTCTATTAACGGTTTGTTTGTACTTTGTATTTTATAGAACGGAGTGAATGACGCAATGCGCGTTGCTCAGCCTTCGTGTATGAGGCAACCACACTTGAGTCGTCCCTTTGACACCCAGGTACTCGCCGACCGACATCTCACACATGTCCCACAATGCGTTGGTTCAAAATGCAGTGTAACGTTGGAGATAAATGTAATGGTTTCACAATGGTCACTGATTAAAAATATTGAAAAATGAAGTCATAATAAAATAAGACATGTAAGGTAATTGACATTGAAACGGAGATAAATACAGCAATTGAAGGACAATTGATTAAATTAATAAGTTAACACAAACAAGAGCTTATTCACAGCGAGGTACAAATTGAAACATTTTTGACCTCTGAAGTAATTTACCGTTGTGCGTGAAATTATTTTGTTACGTAATAATAGATTGTGCTCGCCTTCTAAAGGATTTTAGTATTTCTTTTAATCTGGATCTAAGCTAAGTAGATCTCCTGATTAACTTCAGCGTTCGCTTTTTTCGAAAACGTAACTTTAATTATATTTTATCCTAATAATAGGTTGGGTGTCTACTGGTTCTTGAATTACACACTTTAAACGTACATTAAGATAACCATTAAACTGTCTCCCAGTCCGACGACCAAATAATAACTTAGTAGGTCTTTCTTGAAAGACCGGTTGACAAACATAGTCGTCGTATTACGTCAATGCATGTACTATGCTCAAACCAGCTTCTCTGTTGTACGTTTCCGGATCCACCCGTTTACTGAAGTCTATAACCTAATTACTGGTTATTTCCTCAAGATTAATCTGTAATAATTTCCGTTTTATCGGCCCATAGATTAAAAAAACCGCCGTCAAAGTTCGTTTTTCGCGGGATATTACAAAAACTCGGAAATCCTCTGTTATTCTCTGAGAAAAAATGACTGTTTTTTTTTTCTGTAGACGTAACATAGTCTGGTGTCTAATCCCACGACCAGACATGACCGTATTATCAGTATCATGTAGCGTCTAGCGTGGGCTACTATATTTAGTTATCAACATTTCATAATTAGACAAATCGAAAGTTACATAGACGTCCTATAAAACCACGAGTGATATACCCATTTATATTATTTATTATTATTATATTATGACAATTGGTTCCTATTAGGTGAAAAGCTCAGTGATGAAAAATATTGACTTCAATTTGGTCATCTCCGTATCGGCCATTGCTTAGTCTTGTTTTCAAGCTAGTGAAACGTCATGCTGATGCTGATTCTGCAGGCCTAGGATGCGCGCCGCGATAATCACGCCATTTTATCGATTTTCCCATACATTTTAACGTCGATAAGAGTATATCACGGCGCGCATCCTAGCCCGACTGGACTTGATTATCTTTATCCTAAGATCAACTAAGATGCATCTCTTCTTCTGTTTAGTAAAAACTTACAAATCTCTACTCTAGCATTTGTTCAAATAATTTTACTTATCACCATCTAGAAAATTAATTAATAAAAGATTTATTGGTTTAAAAAATTGACCTTTTAACCATAATTATTACTTAACACGAGTAACACTTGTTTGAGCCTAATGCGATGATGATGTCACCAAATACTTGTATGACGCGGGATGTGTCATTCTATTTATATTCGACAGTTACAGGTTTGAACATAAAAAACTGTAAGCTCGCCATTTCTTGGGTGTGGACTTTACATCCTAGTTCTATTATGTAATACCTTTCAGTATTATAAATCACCTTCCATACTCTCATACTTATCATCTACCCTTTGTGGTAGAAGAAAGACCAAAAACTTGACACTCAATTTATATTTTTTAATTTATAGTTTCCTAAAATAAGTTGTCTTAAAAACTTTTACAGCTGTTATGCTGCAGCGGATGTCTACTAAACAGACACTTGCGTGGGTGTGTGTCACGTAAACAAATAATGTTTTTTTGTTTTGTTTCTAAATTTGATACTCACCGTCTGAGTAAAACTATTATCTTCTGATAACCATTGCCCTTCTCCTTCAATTAAGCTAGTTAAGTATGACAAAACAGCGCGGGCAATTTAGTCATCCACTTATAGATAACCATACATTCTACACCGACTAGACTAGGAAGTACTGTTTAAGTTCGCAGAAGGAATTTCCTCGTTGATTGCCATGTGAGTAGGGTTACCATTCGTCCGGATTATTCCGGTCTTGTCTCTACTTTTAACTTCCGTTTATGATGTAGCTTTTATAATCAATCAAAATTTGAATTGGTTGGGAACTACTTGCCCAAGTTTATCTAAATATTGTTTAAATAATTTCCTAATTTCTTCCATTATTATTCAGACTTTCTGCTTGATGGTCACTCTACGTGCCACGTGCTTACACGCCGCGCTAATTGCGGATGGCACATCAATGCGCAAGGGCGGCTTATCGAATTGGGACAAGTTCGATGGCTTCTGGTGGTGTACGCATATCATAGCATTAGGTAGAAGTCCTTCCATGCATGTAAATCAGAACTGACGGTTAAAAGAAATAAAATTATACTATAAAGTATGAATTTCGTGTCATGTCACAACAATATTAAATGCTCAGACTGAAAATTAGGTATTACTTAATATTATTTCTTGTAGAAATATGTTATGCAGTCAATTGCCAATTCAATAACAAACCTTGGATTGAATCGAGAGCGGTCGGTTCATATCTCTCGTCGCTTATCATGAAACCGTCGATCTGTTTATGTGTAACCTGTAGTTAAATACTTTTTGTTTTGTAACTGTTAGTGATCCGCTTTTCAATGACAACTGAGTATGTATTTATTTTTTATGATGCCTGCCAGTATTACTTTCACCGCTTATTGGCATATCTCACCGGCTGCCGGCATTAATTAAATACAACTCTGTCAATACCAGAATATACTAGTTTGAATTAGTAGTAGTATAGTATAGTAAGTATTCAACAATTAAGAAAATCTGCGGTCGAACTCTATATGTATAAAAAACAAACCATTCATTTAGTTTAACGATAATATAATCGCTTAACTCAGACATAACATTAGCCGTAGTATTTAACCTTCTACAAAAGCCTGCTGAATTTTAAAACACTGAATAGCTTCCTCTTCCCCTATAATAGCCGAGCTGATTCATGATGTTTTTAATTTAGTTTCGTTAATTTAGTTCATTGTGTCGTGTCAACGATTTTCAAAACAAAATTGTTTCTGAGAATCTGTTGATATGGGGCACTTTTTTGTTATCTCTAATCCGAACCACACATGTCTTGGCTTACGTTACCATTTTTTTGACACGTTCCAGGATCCTTTTGCCCTTGAACTCATGAGTCTGCAATGTGTGTTTTTGCGTTGTCTCAAAATAGCATCGAGTTTTACAATAATTTGGAACTTTAATATTTCTACCGATGTAGGTATTCCTTATAACACAAATCATTGTATTGAGTACATAATTCGTATTTGGACAGTGTAATCGGTGTTAGATCCATTATTTATAAAATTCAAAGCATGTTGCGAACAGACCAGACTGTTGTTGAAATGCGATTATGAATGTAGACGTGGTTGTTTCTCAATCGATGAAAGATAAATCTGTCTAGCAATCCTTTCTTCGACCGGAATATTTAAAATATTCAACATCTTGATTAATAAAACACCAGCGTCTTGTTTTATGAATACGAATACATAAGATTGTTTTGATATTCTTTGTGTGCAATCAAATATTATGGCTGCAGTTCCTATTAAACTAGATACAGCTTTTTGTATCGAGAATCGAGAGTTATTGTATTTTGAAAAAGATTAAATTATAGGTCTTACATAATTCAACTAATCTAGAATGAAAACTTATTTTGGGTGACCAAATAGTTACTGTGAAGTAACTGAACTCTGAAAGAGCGTGTTTGATAATTTGTTAATCGTAGAATATTTGTCCCCATTATCTTAATGTGTTTCGGGACGTTTTCTTTGAAAGACCTAAATCTAGTACAAGCCAGTATGTGATTGGCAAATAACGCTTCCTACACTTCAAAAGAGATATCTATACGAGTAGGATATACCTGCTTGTGTTATCTTTTTTCACCGCGTTCTCACAGTATCATCAATTACAAAATTGCTGGTAATTGATCGAGTCTCACGGTGTTACTTATTGTTGCAGGAACAAAGCGATCGCCGACTATCTAGGCAGCAATGGCTACACGGACGCGCTGGAAGCGTTCAAGAAGGAAGCCGACATGTCCGGCGAGATGGACCGCAAGTTCGGCGGCCTCCTCGAGAAGAAGTGGACTTCAGTTATAAGGCTTCAAAAGAAAGTGAGTTCTATCTGTATGATTACTTTAGGTTGCTTTTGGATTAGAGGCTATCCAGAACGTTGATTCAACCGATAACACAAGTGCTGGAAGCGTTCACGAAGGAAGCCGACATGTCCGGCGAGATGGACCGCAAGTTCGGCGGCCTCCTCGAGAAGAAGTGGACTTCAGTTATTAGGCTTCAAAAGAAAGTGAGTCCTATCTGTATGATTACTTTAGGTTGCTTCTGGTTGGATTAGTTAGAGGCTATCCAGGACGTTGCTTCAACCGATAACACAAGTGCTGGAAGCGTTCAAGAAGGAAGCCGACATGTCCGGCGAGATGGACCGCAAGTTCGGCGGCCTCCTCGAGAAGAAGTGGACTTCAGTTATTAGGCCTTAAAAGAAAGTGAGTCCTATCTGTATGATTACTTTAGGTTGCTTTTGGTTGGATTAGTTAGAGGCTATCCAGGACGTTGCTTCAACTGATAACACAAAATTGCTGGAAGCGTTCAAAAAGGAAGCCGCGAGATAGACCGCAAGTTCGGCGGCCTCCTCGAGAAGAAGTGGACTTCAGTTATTAGGCTTCAAAAGAAAGTAAGATCTATTGATATCATCGCTTTAGGCTATTTCTAGATCAGGGGCTATTTAGGTCGTTCTTCAATCGATAGCATGAACGCGTTGTAGGCGTATACTTATTAATTGTAGAATAGATCAAAAGCCTCGCATGTGAAGTACAAAAGATATTGAGGACTTCAGGGATTACACTCCAAAAGGACCACGTTGCTTTGTTTTCATCATTACAAAAACAATCTTAGATCAGATGCTATCATGACAGGTAGACTCCTTCTATTTTGTCATTGCCATTGTATGTTAATCGCCACCTAGACTTAATACAATATTACTCTGCATTTATAATTTTATTAAAATCGATTTCCAAATAACCACCAGACTCAAATCGAACTGTAACTAATTTCAATGCAAGCATACTTATCTATCAGATACAAGTTCATAATTTACAGTTTTATTAAGGCTCGCAGGCCAGTAAGTACACATAAGGTGTTTATGTGCAAATATTCGGTCATTTTATTACATTTACCTTCTACTTGATGTCAACATTCAGTTTGTTAATACTATTATGTAAAACTTACAATATTTAATTAAACTTTTTACAAAACGGTGCATTACTTAATATTTTTGTATGCTGTTGCAAAGTACAGTTATCTTCATTGGAGCATTTGCGGAAGTAAGTCGTTCCGATTTGTGTAACTCTTTCCATAATTGACGGCACCGATAATTATTTAATTGAATTTCAATGTAAAATATGATTAACGATGTCTACTCTATCGGTTCACATAACATTCCTCGCTTCATGTGAAACTGCGCTTACATAAATAATCATTAACACATGAACGTGACGATGCCCTGGCCGTGGTCGTAATCCGTGAGATCGGGTCGCGCTCGGGCTATCTTCAATTGCTGCAGCCCAATTATCGCCTAATCTTCGCGAATGGATTTATCTTTGTCGTATTGTATGCGGTGTAAAGGTTTAATGACATCTCGACACGGTTCTCTGTGGGAAAATAGATCTGATCGATCTGGCCGTGGACATTTCTAGGTCAGCAACGATTTTCCTACCCCGCCGCGCCAGCCGGTCGATGCAGTCGCGTGTTGCTCGTATATCACTTTGACACGATTTATTCAACGACTATCTCTCCGGGAATGCGAAACAAAACAAATAAAGTCCAAGGTGATGGTAATTGGTACGCTCCGCTCGCTGCGTCTTTGAACCTTGCTCTACTAATAGACGTCTATAAATTTATCTCGGGATTGTCTATTTACCTGATACGCCTTTCTAAAATATCTACATATTTTGTAATTGAATGTAAATATTGAACTATGCGTGCGAACAACGACTCACGATTCCGCCAGATTACCTTTAATACGGTTACAAATCGTGCTGCATGTTAGACAAGCAATTTTTACCTCTAAATTTAAGTAACTACAAAAAATAACGAGCTTGTTAAAATAAACAATCGTTACTGTATTTGCGATGATACAATTGGTTTATTCAAAGTTTCTTTGATTATAATTTTAAGTGGTTTATTGTATTGCAACTGTAATAATATTGTTGTGATTCCAGGTGATGGAACTAGAGTCCAAACTGTCAGAGGCACAGAAGGAGTTCATTGAAGGAGCGCCGACTCGCGGCAAGCGCACGCCGGCCGAGTGGATCCCGCGTCCGCCGGAGAAGTTCTGTCTCACTGGACATAGGGCCACCATTACCAAGGTAACTAGGCTCCGATTGTAGACCATAGTACTTAGCTTACTAAAAATACTACCTTCATCATCCATTGGGCCTGCGGTTGCTCCATTACCGCCTGCGTTGTCCATTAAAGGAGCATAGCAAGTTCAAAATTTTCCTCTTTTTTGGTCAGGACAAGCCTATTATTAGGACTGAATTAATTAAGATTCTTATTGCTTATTCAGGCAACAGACAAAATAGTTTAGGTTGCACAACTTTGTCTGTTGCCTGTATAAGCAAAAAACTTGCTTTGTAGTTGTTCTCTTTTCAAATTGATAGTTGATATCTTCAACTAATTCACCCTAAATTTTTTTCCTGAAGTAGAGAAATATCTCCGCATAGTTGAACGAATGGTTCAGAATCGCCAATGAAATACTAACTTGTACTTTTATTATCCAGGTAATATTCCACCCCGTGTTCAGTTTGATGGTCTCCTCAAGTGAGGACGCAACCATCAAAGTGTGGGAGTTTGAGAGCGGCGAGTACGAACGAACCCTGAAGGGTCACACCGACTCCGTTCAGGACATCGCCTTCGACCACCACGGAAAACTACTGGGTAAGAAAAGTACCAGTTTCTTTACTCTATAAGACTCCCCGCAGAGTACAGACTTTTAGTTGGCTGATAATCGGCCGATTTTTCATACAAATTAGAAGAATCGGCCGATATCAAATCGGTGTAAAGTGCGCAATTTTATACATCTCCATACTGACAGCCCGACGCAACTATCGGCCAAATAAAGTAGGTGGTCTGCGCCCAGATCAAGGGTCAAAAGGTTGACAAAACAACCTTATTCCAATTATAAAATAAAGATTGACCGCACACGGAGTATATTTTCCACCCGTGATGTTGTTTTGATTTGACGGATTGCCTACCTAAGTCGGTAATCTAAACACTTTCTACAGTCAGCGTCAAATACACACACCGGCAGATTTAGCGGAACGCAAAAAAAAGTATGAAAATAAGGAAAATTACTACTGATCTATGAAATATTTATTATACAAAATAAAGAGATAATTAAAATAAAATAAAATAACATATATTTTTTAAATATTTAGTCGTTTTTATTTAATAAAAAATCATCGAAACGAAATTTCAATTTTTCAGTTTTGAACNCCTCTAAATCTGCCGGTGTGTGTAGTTCGTGACACCCAAAGTAGCCAATAAGTTCGCAACGCGTCTTTGTTACAATAATTCGAACAAAGACGCGTTGCGAACTTATTGGCTAATTAAAACAACATCACGGATAGAAGATATACTCCGTGTGCGGTCAAATTTTATATGCTAGAAGACGTTAGCCTGTTGTGTTTTGTTCCGCGCTGTGTCGCCTGCATTTTAACATACCCCACCCATACTCAGAATACAACAGAAAGAAGCTCCATTGTAGATAATGTAAATAAACCTACTGTGTATGTTTCAATAAGGATATAAGCTCATCATTTTCCATATTAGAGGGGCTACTAACTACCCATTATTTTCATTAACAATGTAAGCCGTACTGGAATCTGTATCACAATGATAACATAAATTAAACTCACAATGCGTATTGTATTTGCTTGGCAATTATTTTTGCGAATCATCTTTGAATTTTCGCACTCGCACTGGAATGGAAATCGAGATTCGATAAACGGGTGTGATTTTTCGATGAAAGTTCCGCACCATTAGAATGGGCAAGTCAATCGATTTCGAAAATGACATCCATTGAGGAGAGCTAGGTATTGCTACTGAAACTCGCCTTTCTTTACTTACTCATCTTTTGAACGCCATACGGGACTTTTCGCACTGCAGCAACTCCTGTGTAACCAGGATCTACACCTTGACCGCCATATTTTTCCTGGGGAAAAGTTAAATTAATTCCATAGTTATCACTTGTATGAATTTAAAAAAAAACTTCAGATATATGCTCTGATGACTACACTAGCTTAAAGTGACAGAGTGACTACGACAGAACATCAAGCTAAATACTGTGCCATCTAAAACAGTTGTAATAAAAGCGAGTTTACAAAAAAAAAATTGTCTGATGTGCTATCGACTGTGCTCATAGAGATATAGAGAAATGCCAACTAATGCGCTGAGTTCGATACTCAATCAAAACATGTGCTCATTATCCATTGCGGTATCAGTACTCAACGTTCGAATAATCTTTAGTACTACGCAAGCAATGTAAACTGTTTACATTATGACGTCGCTGCTGTCATCATTGCTGTCACGAGCTATGTGTTCTGTTTTTGAACCTATTGCTGCGACACCTGCCCCTCCCCCTTGTAACATCTCCCTTCAGTTTCTGTGATCTGTGACTGTGATTATAGCTTAGTAGAGATGAGACGTATTTACTAGAACAGATCCACACACTAGGTATTTTACAGTACTAGGCGGCACCTATTCCAATTTTTTAAATATTTGATCCACCTAATATTTTATAAATTACACGATTTCCGACCCTACCGTCAAAGTAATAGAGGTTATTATTGCATAATCCGTAGTCGTGTATTATGCGCACCTAGTATTTCTCGCTAAGCTTATGTGCGAACGTAGAGATTCACTCCGTCTCTGTCTGACCTAACAAATTTGAGCGGGACGAAGCAAACGTAGTCAAACCATATTCATGTAAATAAGAAAAAATATGTAAATATTTTTATGAAATTGATATCTTTTAAATACGCCAAGCCAACTTTTAAGTTGACAGTCCTAAGCCTGTTGAAGTATGAAGGGAGGAACTATTATTCAATTTCAAATTGCATTATTCATACTACGGTTGTATCTTTTCAAAGAAAATTGTATTTTAAAGTCATATTACGTGGATTAGTCCGCACTAGTCGCGTCAAGTATGCTAAATTACTACGTACTAGGTGGAACAGGTATTTGGATCGAGTATTAATAAATACTAGGAATAGGTGCACCTAGTATCAAATTTACCTAGTATAACCCATCTCTATAGCTTAGACTGATAGATTAATCACTAACCGTGTCAACCTTATTTCCTCCGCAGTGTCATGCAGCGCTGACATGTCGATCAAGCTGTGGGACTTCAACCAGACGTTTGAGTGTGTGAAGACCATGCACGGGCACGACCACAACGTGTCGTCCGTCGCATTCTCGCCGAGCGGCGACATCGTCTACTCGGCCAGCCGTGATAAAACTATCAAGGCTTGGGAAGTGGCTACCGGGTGAGCATTACATTATTATACAGTTCGTGAGGCGTAAGTTGAACTTTTTGTGTCAGTGATCACAAAAACAAAAATGTTTGTGTAGAAAAACTAAACACAAATATTATTAAACAAATACTTATCTTTTGACAATTTCACACAGCGAAACGAAATACATACTAAGAATTAAACACGTCACGCTGCTACCAGTAGGTACAAGAGGTGAATTGTGACAGATGCGCGTCGGACTTGCGCCACGGACCGATTGCCAAAAAGCAATAATATAAACTATCCATCCAACACTATCCATGTCCACTCACACGAATGCAAAGCTCAGCTTAGTATCTTGTACTGTATCTTTTATAATTATGGCTTTTATAGGATAGCACGTTAAGACTACACCTCCAATCAATTTGCATTTTGAGATATTATGTTATAATTTAATTGTGCAATGCGTTGTGGACGCCTATAGGCAAGCATTACTTTGAGACTTGAATTGCGTTGATTGAACGTCACAGTAATTTAAACATTGGCAGTAAAGTCGCACGCATGCCACACTCAAGTCTTTTAAAGACTTTTATGTTCGTGCAGAAATGTGCTGCGTAAAATTTACGGCCAACATTGGTACCGAAATAATAGCTGCGTTTCTGTTTCTTAATTAAGATATCATCTGCCACACCAGTAATTAATATGTTCTATTAATCTACACCTCGATTACTCGTGGTAAAAATCCAAAACTTGTTGCTAGTTGTTACTATATCGTAATTCGTATATAACTTTTTGCTATCGGATATTGCCCAATGACATTTGAAAACGTTGCTTCACAAAAAGTAACTAGTATGTCCAGGATGTTGTTGACACCAACAGTCAATCGACAAGGTACTTTTTATTAAATCTAACGTCTAACGTTAGTCTCCCGTGAAAAAAAAAACAAGCTATGACGTCATTAATTAGCGAGTATGGTTGACAATTTTATTGAATATCAAAGTTATGTAGTAAAAAATTCATTCTCACCTTGAAAAATCCCGGATTGAAAGTATTCGGGAAAGACAATCTGGGTTTTTGGAGCATTGAAGTATTTTTTTGAAAAAGTGGTCGTGGAATTGTTGGTTAATGGTTAACCCGTTTATCCCTTAGGCCCAGAACAGACGGTGAAACGCAACTGCAACGAAACTGCAACTGCTAGTTACTTTTGAGTTGCATCTAAGTTTCTGCCATAGCGTCCGTTGAAAGAGCACACATGACGCGACCAGTTTGAAACTTTCAGTTTCATTCATCAGAAAGTTTCGTTGCAGTTGCGTTTCACCGTCTGTTATGGGCCTTATACTTACGATCTTTTTCCGTTTCAGATACTGCATCAAGACGTACAAGGGACACCGCGAGTGGGTGCGCATGGTGCGCGTGTCGCCGGACGGCGCGCTGCTCGCGTCCTGCTCCAACGACCAGACCGTGCGCATATGGAATGCCGACACCAACGAGTGCAAAGTGAGTCTTATCACCAGTGCATATAGCTGACTTTTGAACGAGCCTTCCGCGCATTAAGCATTTCAATATCAGAGTGCAAAGTTACTTTTTTGAACGAGACTTCTGCGTATATCCATTCTTAAATCAAAGAGTGCAAAGTATCTTATCGCCAGCTCATATAGCTGACTTTTGAACGAGACTTCGAATAGACGGCGCATAGGGTGTGGCCGCCACAATATACGGTCAGCACTCATTCCTGTAAACCGTATTTGTCGAGTGCATATTTTGTACAAGTCTCTTGCGATATTGTTATCCAGTGACAGTTCATAGTTTTTAATTTATAATCTGCAAGGTTCGAATTAATAATACCTACCTAATAACTCAATATGACAATAAACATAACATCATCTTACGAGTTGGACTTCTTTCATGGTCCTTCGAGCCGGACTTTTTCACGGTCCTTCGAGCCAGATTTTTTCCATCGTCCTTTATAAATGTGTTATTACAATTTCCTTTATCCCTTAGATGGAATTACGAGAACACGAGCACGTGGTGGAGTGCGTGGCGTGGGCCCCGGAGGCGGCGGCGGCGGCCATCAACGAGGCGGCCGGCGGGGACAACCGGCGCGCCAACCACGCCGGGCCTTTCCTCGCTAGCGGCTCGCGCGATAAGTCTGTCAAGGCGAGTACTCTACTTTTAACTAAATACGGTAACGTCTTATCTAGTTGTAAGGAGCTATTTTCTATGACAACCCTTTACCCTTTACGTTGTAGAGCAACGGGGCAACATGTACAATAACATTGGTACTACATAAATAGTAATTGAAATTCGCGTTTCGATTCCCAATGCTATCAGTTCTTGTGATATCCGTGTGATTCACCCACCTATGGAGCCACCTCAATTATTCCCGTGAATAAAGGCGACTAAATGAGAAATATGCAAACATCAGGCAGGAGGGAAGGTCCCTCCCCGTCTTACAAGTGTGCGGAGTTTCGACCGAATCCTCCTTTTTGGCCTTGCTTTTAGTCTTCCTCGTGCATGCATTGGATACTAATCATGGTCTGGTCTGCGAGCACGTAGAATTTTGTCCAATGACCCCAAGCTACCCATCTTTATCGCTCGCGCGTGATTATATTGCTGTCGCGACGTGGCGACGGGCGCCCGCAGTGAGTGTGCGAGCGCGACAGCAACATAATTCCGCGCGAGCGATAAGAACTGGTAGCTTAGAGTCATTGGACAAAATTCTACGTACTCACAGACCGGACTTTACATGGCCTGATGATGAACAATCATGTCCATTTGCAGATCTGGGACGTGAGCACAGGCCAGTGCCTGGCGACGCTGGTGGGGCACGACAACTGGGTGCGCGGCGCGGCGTGGCACCCGGGCGGCCGCTACCTGCTCACCGCCTCCGACGACAAGACGCTGCGCGTGTGGGACGTGGCGCACACGCGCTGCCTCAAGACGCTCTACGCGCACCAGCACTTCGCCACCAGCCTCGGTTAGTACGACAATAGCCCAACACTGTCGGTCTACCCACTAGAGGGATAGGTGGGGCGGCCGCTACCTGCTCACCGCCTCCGACGACAAGACGCTGCGCGTGTGGGACGTGGCGCACACGCGCTGCCTCAAGACGCTCTACGCGCACCACCACTTCGCCACCAGCCTCGGTTAGTAACTGCTTCGATGACAAGAGCCCAATGGTATGGGTCTACCAACTGGAGGATTAACGCCCGTATTCACAAACATTACTATGAGGTCTCCCAGTGCGCGTGAACGCACAGGGTGACACACGAACCAATCACAGAGCTCTATTCAACACTGTGCGTTCGATTTGCTGATTCACTTAAGCAAGCATCGTTTGTGAATACGGGCGTTAGGACGTGAGCTTGGGTCAATAGGTGACGACGATGAAAATAGTCGATCTACCAACTCGAAGGCTTATGCTCGATGACAATAGTCATTCGGTGTCTGTCTACCAACTCTAGGGTTGTGGACGTGAACATGGGCCAGTGTTGGCAATACCGGTGTTGCCTTTAGACGCTCTACGCATTCTCATCACTTTACCACCGGCCTCCGTCAGTACACGTCGCGGAATGATGCAGACATTCCCCACCACTGGCGAGTGATCGACTAATTTATTTCTGAAGAAACGCACGTTTATTTGTCAAGTCAAATGACAGTTTGTCGCTGGACTATGAGCGAGTGTGACTGACGATCCGCAGCTTAGATAGGTAGAATAAAAGTTGACAGAGTTGGAGCTGGAGAAGTAGGGTTATTTGATACTGATAATCATGAATGAACTGACGTTTTGATGTTTTGTTTCAGATTTCCACAGGAGCTTGCCATACGTGATATCAGGCAGCGTTGATCAAACCGTTAAAGTTTGGGAGTGTCGCTAAAAGCGTTGCCATTTTAGTAACTTAAAACTCACCGATGATATCCTTTATCATTATTTTTTCACATTGATAGCTACAATGAGCTGCAGACTTAATCATTTAAAGTTAGATTGGAGACAGGAATACAATTATTTATAATAATAATAATTCCTCCTTCTACTCATTGTGGTTTACTTTCGTACACTTGACGATGCTATGTCTTTATAAAATGTCCGAAAAATCTGATCCTTCTACAACACGCAACTACTTGAGATACTACGATTTAGATTGTCACATTCCATTATAATAAAATGGCTCTAAGAATATGATTTGTTTGTATATTGTTATAATTATAGTAAGAGTTTTGAAATCTAATTTCTGTAAAGAAATATTGTGATGTAGCATTCGTCATGTACCCGATCGGAACGAAGAAGTGAGGCGTCAATGCTGTGTTATAATTTAATTTTTCACTCTTGTTTTATTTTGTAGTTATTGTTTATTCATAAGCGCGTTTAGATGTAATTTTATTTAGTATAAATAGTAAATGTTTTCATACGTGTTCGATCGAGGAATATTTGTACCATGATTTGTTTAATTGATAATTTAGTTTTATTCAATTTGATACTGATGGTTATTCATGACAACATTTCCGCGGCCATCGCGCGGGTTGCTCGCCAACAGCGCGGATCGGCTCGCGCAGCGCTTACGGATATCATAACGTCACTTTCATTCATAGACTTATTTTAAGTTTTGGAGTTTCAAAACTTTAACTATAAGTTAGAGTGTTGTATTTTAAAAGTTTTTAATTATTATTTATTTCATCTTGTATTCATTATCAGATTAGATCGTTTACGGAGCGTAGAGCATTGAATTGCTAGATTAGTGATTATTATGCAAACTACATTTTACGTAATCACATGATGATTCTAATATGTTGTATTCGTCGAATGAGAATTCACCTAAATTAAAGTGTGTGATATACAATATTAATATTTTAATTTTCTATCTTGTTTGAGGTAGCTAGATTTGAAGTAATACTAATAAATGAAGCCTATTATGTCCAGTAGTTATTATTTATTATGGTATTTTGAAGATTTAGGTTGCCCTGGTATTGTACTAGAACTTAGTGGTAGGTGTAGGGTGGTCAAACTAGAAGCTTTGCCGTGTTAGAGTTACATTACCGTGTACATTGCGTATAACAGCTATCGAGCTAACGCTTCTCGCATGTCATGTCTAGTAAATATTAATAAATGGGTATTAGCACTGCTTATTTTTATTATAAAACGACTGCTGAATGGATGAGACTCGTTATATTTACGCGGCATGGCACTCAATTATAAGATAATATCATCCCGTTACATTCGCTTAATCAATGTAAATTCGTAAATACACGATTATCAAAGAGATTATAGTAGAAAGATGTCGGAATAGAGCGTAGTGGCTACCTCTTTCTGCCACCTTGGAACACCAACTCTGGAAGTAGTCACGGATATAGTGCAATATTGTTTGTAGCGTGATTTTCTGGTGTTCCTTGTGAGACACAGAAAAAGCTTTTTCTCTAACATCTCTATAGTTTAATCTCTTTGACGTTCGACAAACGCATAGAACATAAAGCTTGCAATTTATATTGTATGATTACGTAAGTAAGAACATTTGTATTACAATTAACGAGTAATGTAGGTAAAGCCACTCAATAATATGTTATGCTTACAATAATAAGGGTTTTTAAAATATCTATAACCATTAAAATACAAAATTCTCTTGATAAAATAAAAATATAGTTATTACGTCACTTATATGATAACAAGTCATTATAAGAAAATCAATAGATAATTTTGTTGGCTCATGTAATCCGTTTATTTTGTCAAAATTATATAGATTATTAACTACCATAATTTGGTTTAATGTTTCTGTAAATAAATCAATTAAATATTCTTATTTATTTTACAATTTGCCGCCTTCATTTTTCTTTCATTAGGAACCATCGTCTACAATCCAGAATCCCGTTATGATTAATTTGAAGAAACTGCAGACAATAAACTCTAGTTAGGTTTCGTTTGATTTCTTTCTATGACGTTGTTCGATGCGATAGAGACCCCGACTTGGTGTTGCCAGTAGTAAAGCTTCGACCTATAGGTCGCCTCAACATTCGTTGCGCGACCTCTAACTGATTGCACGCGTTAGTTATAGGTCTAGCGCTTAACTCAGTTTCAGCTTTGTATAGTTCCAAAATACTGGACTGTCTTGTCGATGACATTGACAGTGGGGCGCCACCGTCAATACCGGATCGCTGGTTCTGATTTTTGCTATGTTGGAAACCATACAGGGTGGAAACGATAAGTGATCTCACTCGATTATTTCTAAACTATACAAGAGATCGAAAAACTGGTTACTGATCCTGAAAGTGCTTCACGAGCTCTATCAAACGGTACCAATAACAGGTTAGAGAATAAACAGGATCTATCCGAAAATTCAATGTTTACAGCTTCCATACTAAATGTATGCCAACCACTTAATATTAGAAGTGTATTTTTTTAAACTTTAAATAAACTCGTAAATTGCATTCTTATTTTAAATTATTTATGAAAAACATTAGTTTTAGGCTTTACTTGCTATAAAATTTGCTATAATATTATCAAGAAATGGTTACCATTATCTGTGATCGTACTAAATGTATGAAAGATGGAAACATTGATTTTTTAGATAGATCTAGTTTATTCTGTAACTTAATATTGATACCATTGGATAGAGCTCGTAAAGTACTTTTAGGATCAGTAACCAGTTTTACGATATTTTTTGTAGTTTTTAATATTATGAAGCTGTACCAAATGTATGGAAGCCAGAAACATTGAATTTTCGGATAGATCCAGTTTATTCTTTAACCTATTATTGGTACCGTTTGATAGAGCTCATGAAGCACTTTCAGGACCAGTAACTAGTTTTCTGATATTTTGTATAGTTTAGAAATAATCGAGTGAGATCACTTATCGTTTCCACCCTGTATAGTTGAACGATGGTAGCGCCCCTCTGTCATTGAGTTTGGTGGGACAGTTCAGCGTGGGTCATCTATATGCCCTGTCACGTCATAATATGTCAATGTCACCCCTCCCGTGCCGCTCACACACCTCGGGCACTGACTGAAGTTAAGCGCTAGACCTATAACTAACGCGTTTGTCCGTGTACAATCAGTTATAGGTCGCGCAATAAATGTTGAGGCGAACACTAACTTATCTGATGAAATATTTGAACACATTCAAACTTCAACCACACAACTCGTGCAGATCGCCATCGCCGGCGAATGACAGGTTGCGCGACCCATGACAGTTCACGCGACCTGTCATTACCCTATCACCCTATGATCGCACTGATGGCGATCTGCACGCGTTGGTGTGGTTGAAGCATAAGCTGAGTTGCACCACCTTACTTTGACCGTAGTAACATAAATAATAACGATATCGGCGTTTTTTGTATAGTTTGACAGATTTTTGATGTTTGTCAAAGTTAACAACAACCCAGCCTAAAATGTGTTCTGTGCTAAATGTTAGTCAAACTATTCAAGACGCCAGCGTTGAGAAGACAGCTCAACTCTCGTTGAGCGGCCTATACCCGATATATCGTTGGGATTTGCGGGAGATATAAACAATCGATATAAAATCGAGAAAAGAATAAAACTATCGATAGTTCGACATCCCTATTCCTTGTGATATATCACCACTGAGAACGCGGGCTCAGACAGACTGACTGAACGCTTTTAATAAAGTCCTAGCCAATTACATACCTCCACTACTATCCTACGGCAGCAAGTGGATAGGCACATAAGTATATCTTCATATTGACCGTGTCGTTAATAACCGAAACCCAACAATATTTTCTGGACTACTAACATTGTTGTCTGCGCAGTTTCTTTAGTAGTATGTCACAAAGCGGCGGAGCAGCCTTCGACGGAAAAATATCTCATGGAAAGTGAAGTTGCGTCATTATTTTTTCCATTTGCATTACATTACAGTATCCATCATTTTCCACATTGAGTGCAATAAGTGCTCTGTGATTGAGTGAGTGTAGGAAAATCTGCAGAACGCAAGCAAGAATGGGACAAATCATGGGGACTACCAGAATAGGTACATGTTTTCACGAGGAGAGGTCTTTTATTCCTCTTTTAAATACAAATAACACTAGAACTACGTTTTTTTCTAACTAGCTTTATCCAGCGATGCGCTACTGCGGTGCTCTCTGCTGCGGTGCAGTAGTTGTCCCTCCTACTGCAAAAACGATAAAGTAGGTATAGCCTGACCAGGAACATAAAAACCCTGGCATAGTGGCGCGTCAATTGCATTTGATAGTGCAACACTGAGTACAGTCGTAGGTACCTGTGTTAAATTAATAGGCTAACTTTATGTATCAGGATTCAGGATTACGGGCTAATTTGATATTTTCATAAATTAACGAAAAAATATTATTATAGGTAACCTGATTTAAATAAATTAAATGAAACCATCAATCGAGCTAGTAGAATTTGAGTATTTCTCAAAAAAAATGTACATTTTGAAAAAAAAAAGTGTGCTTTGAAACAGTTCAAAAGTTTTATATTTATAAATCATCACACAAAAAAAACACACACACAATTTTGAAGGATGAATATTAATCTTTAAGATAACGAAGAATTATAGCTATAATCCTACTTATTACCAAATATTTAGATATTTTAAAAATAGTCCTTTTTTACCTTTCATACAAAAATCTGTTTGCCACCCTAGCTTTTTCATGTGTTTTTGTTTCATAAAATGCGATACGTAACTAAATTATTGTAAATTTCTTTGTATTATCGTTCTACAGTAATCGCAGTTTCTGTATCAAATTGATTTTCTATGGGGTGTCATAATGAATTGGCAATTTAAAGCAAAAAAACAAAATGAGTCGCTCTCATTTACTATTTCGTTATTTACTCTTTAGTTACGATTTATTTCTACTTTCCCATGGTTTCTGAACAATTCCGTATTTATTTTACACGGACAACAATAGCTGCACTCTGAATGGCTGTTGGCCTGACGTCTCCGCCATAACATCTATCGCGAAAATTAGTGAAAACGTGTGTGTTTTGTGGGATTACTTTTTCGTAACAGGCAGTAAAATCAGCGATTTTATATAATTTATTTTATTATTCATCAATAATCAAATTCAGAACTTGAATATTCAACTGCAATGTCTGCTCATGAACGCTTCAAACTCGGTACTTCTTTCCCAATCCCATAAAATTCAACACTTAGGCCCGGTTTTTTGATTCGTAGTTAAAATAACCAATAGTCAAATTTGACAGATGTCAAATGACAAGTGGTTAAATATCAGAAAAAAATGTTTTTCGAACAATGGTTAGCTTGACTTTTAGTACATTTTTAAACTATTCGTTAACATTTTGTTAATATTTAACCATTAGTAGCAAAATTTAACAATTAGTTATTTTAACTATGAATCAAAAAACTGGGCCTTAGAAAGTGAAAAAATTTTAAAATAGGTAGTTGAAACAAACCACAGCTAATTTTCATAGTGGACTGTACTATACGATAAACATGTCAGTCAATTTGACAACCTTTGTCGGAAACATTATTCAATGAAAATATTGTCCAAACCCTTAGTATTTCTCTTCGACAAATACTTTAACACATTGTGAANCCAAACCCTTAGTATTGTCTCTTCGACAAATACTTTAACACATTGTGAACCACTTTTCTTTCACGACTATAAAAATATTTTAGCAATTTAATTCATAAAACCAATTGCGCACATTTAAAATAAACTTTGTTTACACTTTGACAGCAATAGACTGACATGCAAGGTGACATGTCAATGAAGTTTTCAGTTACTGTTGCCATTAAAAGAAATTAGTATAGTTCCAAAATACTGGACTGTCCTGTCGATGACATTGACAGTGGGGCGCCACCGTCAATACCGGATCGCTGGTTCAGATTTTTGCCATGTTGGAAACCATATAGTTGAACGATGGTAGCGCCCCCCTGTCATTGAGTTTGGCGGGACAGTTCAGCGTGGGTCATCTATACCATTAGTTTTCCGCAACATGGCGAAGGTTTTTATGTTCCTGGTCAGGCTATATATGAGTAATTTAAGCGCCACTAAAGGGTTTATTCGATACGAATGATTTGCACAGACAGTTTCAGTTGGATTGGATTGCCCCTTTTCACCATCCCGATGGCAAGCCCGAAGGAGGTAGATCACAGATTTACTATGTGGAACAGATGGGAGTAAAGGATTGGGTATTGAAAAATATTTGGGTCGCTTTGCTGTTTGCTTTCTACTTTCCTGATTACGTAAAAAACTTATTAGATCGGTCTGAAAAACCAAAAACGAAACCCAAAGCTGTAAACGAATATAAAAAAATATACTATCAATATGACATTGACAGCTCTTTCCTGTCAGTCACCTGCTGCTAGTTGTCACTGTGACAGTAGAATGAGAGCTCATTTTTTGGGAATGTGGATAGAATTTTGACGGAATTTCTATAAGCTTCGCGTGGCTAAAGTAGTGACCGGTATTCTGGATTATCCAAAACATGGATGTGGAAGAGTGTCTCAAGGAATGGGAGGATTTGTCAGCGGACTATAAGCGCCTCGAGGTAACGACTGATTTCCAAATGGTGCCACCAATGCATTCAACATAATTGCTCATTTCCACTTGGTTCTGATTTATTGTTTACTCAGACATTGTTCTTTGTCTTGGAACTAAATAACAATAAAGGAAATAATGTTTAAGCATTGTCAGTAGTCATAGAATCGATTTATAGAATCCTGTAGTTAACACACATTATTTACAGTATTTTAAACTTTTCCAACGTTACCTCAAATAACAAAAGTCCGTTTTGTTTCAAGTATAAATTATTCCATTCTATCAATAGCAGGTAAAATATTTTCCCTTTATTGAAATTGATCTTTAAATAATATTGATTTTTGATACCTAAAACATATTGTTTCCTCATTCTGTGTCAGATTTATTATTGAATTTATAACTGAATGATAAAAATATTGGTGCTTCCAGACGGTAAATAAAGAGTATGTCACGAAGTTGGAGGAAGTGGGTGAGCTCCAGGCTACGTGCATGAAGGAGATCACTCACCAGAAGTATCGTATGTCTATTATCGCAAATGCTCTCAAAAGGTCAGATCAATTATGTTCGCTTTGATAAGGATAGTTTCCGTATTTGTGTTTACTTGTAAACATTTCGTAACTAATAACTTGAGAATATAAGGAACATTAATAGTTTTCAACTGAAATTCTTCTTTGAATTACATAATTAAGTAATAAATAAAGATATACGTTCGAGGCTTAACATCATTATCAGTATCTCGGGAGGTGGCAAGATAAAAATATTTAATTTTATGCCTTACCTATACTGATAAACTTTAATAAAATATAGAAACAACATTTTTGTTAATTAGTGACCGTAAAAAAATATTCTGAAACAAGATGCCACAGCGGAAAGATATAAAAGAATAAAGTTCTTTCCATAATTGGAAAAAATATCTTTATGATTATGATCTAAATAAATGTTTATTTATAGGCTGGCACAGTTATGATAAATGTAGGTTTTTATTGCTTAATATTGAAGCTGATATCTGTCTATCTACCTATTAATTTATCTACCTAGGGATTATGATCCAATGATAATACAAAATTACATCGTTCTTGGAAGATTAGTTTTGTTCCCAACTACTTATGTGTGTGTGGTTTTAAAATAGGCCTTATCTGCTGAACCAATTTGAATGAATTTTTGTATTGAAATAGGTGTGACCTTGGGGAAGGACAGTGACCTTTTATTAAAATTATTACTTTTGAATGAAAAATACAAGTAAATAAATAGTACACAACAGACTTTCTGTGACAGATTTTAATCCCTGCAGACAAAAGCTAGGCCAGAAGTTAAATTATTATACTTATTTTTTACATTAAAGTATTATCAGTCTTCCATAAATGTCTAATAATGTTTTTTTACAAACAGATTTGATAAGAAGGGTATTACAAAAGATGAACGACTTGCCAAACTGGAAAAAGAGATAATGAAAAGAAAAGCCATGCTGCATGAAATCAATACCACACTGCCCAAACAGAACAGCCTGTATCTCCGTATTATACTTGGAAATGTCAATGTTTCTATTTTGAATAAAAATGACAAGTAAGTAATGATATTGAAACCCAGAGCCTTGGTCATTTTGTGTGAAATGCACCCATATTCCCCGAGCATTTATATGAAACTGAATTTTACTTTTCAGGTTTAAGTACAAGGATGAATACGAGAAATTCAAACTGATATTGAGTGCAATAGCATTCGTTCTTGCTGTTGCAAATTTGTACATAGATTTCAGGTGAATATTTCTGCCATTTACAATCTATACACTGACTAGCTTATGTTGTTTAATTAGATGTCATTTTGCAATAAAAATGTACCTATAGTTTAATTTATAAAAATTGAGAACTATTTCTTCATTCATCATAGGCACATAAATATATTCTTTTTTTTCAGACCGCTGCAACTGATACTGATATTCTTGTTGGTATGGTACTACTGCACGTTGACGATACGCGAGAGCATTCTGAAAGTGAACGGATCGAGGATAAAGGGCTGGTGGCGGCTTCACCACTTTATTTCCACCATTGTGTCTGGGATACTCCTCATTTGGCCCCAGAACGAGGCGTGGGAAGAGTTCCGGCACACGTTTATGTGGTTCATCGCTTACATAAGTGAGTATGAGTAGTTTTTTTGTTTTAGGTAATTAATAATAATAAGATTGCATTAAATCTATACCTTACTTGAGATCTTACATCTCAAAAATAAAAGGTGGCCTGCTTGCCTAAGCGCACGTCAATATATCATTTTATCGAGACGATAAGATTATATCGTGGCGCGCATTCTAGGCCGGCAGGCGTAAAATTCACGTTACGTCACTCGATAGTTAGTTTTGCGACTAGTTTTCAAAGTAATATCAAATACTTGCCAATTATCCAGCTAACATCCTTTTATAACATCCCAATAGTTACCTAGCAGCATACTTATTATCTTTTTTGCGTAATTTAATGTTTACTACAGTGCTGTTTCGTTACATTTTCAGGTGTCGTTCAATTCATGCAGTTCAGATATCAAAGCGGTGTGCTATACAGGCTGAAAGCTCTGGGAGCACGGCATAACATGGACATTACCATTGAGGGCTTCCACTCATGGATGTGGCGTGGATTGTCGTACTTACTGCCATTTCTGTTCGGCGGATATGTATTCCAACTTTACATTGCATACACCCTGTATAATATCAGCTTCCATCGGAGTGCGACGTGGCAGGTATGTGCAACTTTATTTAAATATCTACGTGTCGCCAACTTAAATGTCCTAGTTCACATGCTATAGAATAGTAATGACTCTCGAAGCAAGGCTTTAATTTTATAACGTCATTTCTTGTGACACTGGCAAGCTATTTAAGTTGGTGGCACATTTATTAAAAGTATTCAACTTTCTTTAGCATAGTGTGATTGCATAATAACTCTGTGAGGTAAGGTATTGTGTGAAAGTTAATCATTTTAGTAAGGTACTGAAACATTATCTATCGTAAGCGAAATAAATAGATTTTGACAGAGTTAAAGTACTAACAATACAAAATATAACGATGATAACGAAGAAAAAAACAGTCCCCTTACTCAAATGACCACCTTTTATCACAGAAAAGTTGCTTAGTTGTCTATAAGAAACTTATTTTAAAGAGCATAGAGCTCATAGGAGCTTTAAAAATGGACTCTAATTCTCGAATATAAAACATGTTTCCCCCCAACAAACAAACAACAGGTGCCAGCTTTAAGCATGTCGTTCCTGTCGCTCGGAATCGGCAATACGCTGACTACCCTCATAGTGATACCGCAGAAACTCAACGAGCAGGTACTGTGAGAGTGCCCGACTGCAGAAACCTTCACTGCACGCATTTATGTATGTGTGTCATAGTAGTAGCGATTGTCTGGTAACAGTGAACGAACAAAGAATAATGGCAACCCCTAAAATAGAAACTTGTCACACACACTGCACTGACAATGGTTGCGTTTGGCGGAAAATAGCGCTGGCTAGCGCTAGTAAGTAAAGTGGCGGCGTTTTAGCGGTAAGTGCTGTCACTGTCAAAAAAATGTATGGGATAACGCACAGCCCCCCTAGACAAAACGCACTTTTTGATCGAATCGAAAATCGAATCCGTCACAACTCCATACAAAAAAGGGGCTTTTCGACCACTTTTCGACTGGTTTGCGATTATAATTTGCACTTTGTCTAGACCCACAGATATCGTGACTTTTGAAGTTTAGCAAACGTGTCCTAGCCGAAAACATGTTAAAGTTTCGGCGGTTCTCATGGCGATCGCCATGTTGCTAACAATTTCTAACAAGCGATATTTTCCGCTAAACGCAGCCAATATTAAACTCAGTTTTTAATTTGAGCCAGTAATTTGAAGTTAGACTGTCACTTTGTAATCTTAGTGAACGAAATTTTTCTTTTTCTTTTATTTATGATCAGAGACTAAATTGCAATATGATTACTGTTATTTTCTTTGGTTCGAATGTTATATTAGTAAAATTACTGACCAGATTTAAATTAGGTAACGGGGTCTATATGGCAAAGACAAATAGATTAGGTGGTTGACACAATTTACCAACAATCTAACCCAGAAAACCAAAAGGTTGTGAATCTGTGTCAAAATTGGGTGAAAATAGATCAGATCCATCCAATTTGCTATAATACTTTTTTCGTTCACCGTTATATCGATGTTCTAACAAGAAAACGATGAAATTTATGGTAATGGTATGGTAAGGTATGACGAACTTAGTCAATTTAATAAAAATAATATATGTAGGTATAGCCTGACCAGGAACATAAAAACCCTCGCCATGTTGCGGAAAACTAATGGTACTAATTTCTTTTAATGGCAACAGTAACTGAAAACTTCATTGACATGTCACCTTGCATGTCAGTCTATTGTTGTCAAAGTGTAAACAAACTTTATTTTAAATGTGTGCAATTGATTTTGTGAATTAAATTGCTAAAATATTTTTATAGTCGTGAAAGAAAAGTGGTTCACGATGTGTTAATGTATTTGTCGAAGAGAAATACTAAGGGTTCGGACAATATTTTCATTGAATAATGTTTCCGACAAAGGTTGTCAAATTGACTGACATGTTTATCGTATAGTACAGTCCACTATGAAAATTAGCTGTAGTCTGTTTCAACTACCTATTTTAAAGTTTTTTGTCACTTTCTAAGTTTTGAATTTTATGGAATTGGGAAAGAAGTACCGAGTTTGAAGCGTTCATGAGCAGACATTGCAGTTGAATATTCAAGTTCTGAATTTGATTATTGATGAATAATAAAATAAATCCTACTAGCTCGATTGATGGTTTCATTTAATTTATTTAAACCAGGTTACCTTTAATAATATTTTTCGTTAATTTATGAAAATATCAAATTAGCCCGTAATCCTGAATCCTGATAAATAAATTTAGCCTATTAATTCAACACATGTACGACTGTACTCAGTGTTGCACTATCAAATGCAATTGAAGCGCCTCTATGCCAGGGTTTTTATGTTCCTGGTCAGGCTATAGTTGTTTATAAAATTACTGTCGTTTTCTTCTTGGACAACTTCAGTATATTTAGAAAATGTTAGTACCGAATTTGAACGCATAAATGCCCATAACTCCGCGTAAGTGCTGCACCCATTAAATACTTTGTGATTTTATTATTGGTTATTTCCTACTAACATTTTAACTACATATTTGCATGTTTTTTTATTTCCTAATTACCATGTCTATTTTATATTTCTTTATTACTTTGGCTGTCTGGTGTGTAGTGGCGCTACCGATTTAATGTTAATAGCTTTGAATCAAGAGTCAATAATTTTTTAATGTTGATGAAAAACCTAAAGAGGAACAAAGCTAATTGCCATACACACACCCATAAAAAATAATGTAAATCTTTCTAACATAATGAAATGATTCACAGGATTAAACAAAGAAAAATGATGGTGGCAGCACTTTCGCAGACAGTTATATTTATGTATAATGTATAAGTATGTAGTAAATATTTCACGTGGACCAACCTAGACTATCTATCACCTAGCTTTTGGAGCTACAAGAAAAAAATATTAAAATAAAAATTCGGATCATTAGATAAGTTGGTGAGATTTTAAAATTAGGTTATTTCCCATCGCCCAATTCAAATGCTAGGTGGTAGACTAGTAAACTTTTAGTTTGTTTGTCTATTTATAATTTGCATTGTCTAAAATAATTGTTTTAAAACAGATATTTTAGCGCTATTATAAAGTACGTAATATGTTTATAATTTTAATTGTAGTATAGCTCCAATCGAACTAAAACGAACAAAAACGCACGAACTCAATAATGAGTCATATGTCATAGACTCGTTTTTCTAGATGCTATAAAATAGAAATTCTCATCATGTTTTGAAAATTATACTTAAATACAAGTACTTTGACAGGTCACTGAAACTATACTGTTTCACAATAAAATTAGAATGCAAGAACATTACTAATATTATGATGTAATTTTACTGTTTTTTTATTATACCTAGAACACATACTTATTACGCAGTGTTCAACGATGATGATGATGATGGATATTATGATTTTAGTTATATGATTTAGATTATATATGTGTATTTGCTAATTTTATTTTCTACTTTTGTGAATGTATGTATTTATATGTATAGTAGTATGAAGTATCACAATTAAAAGAGATCTAGAGTTGTGCCAAAATGAATCGAATACTTAGATTTATAATATTAGTCTAAACAAAGTTTGCATGAATGGTTTATTTATTGCATGATGTGAGAGTCTCGTAGTTAATTATATTATATGGTAATTTATTGTTGAGAATTCTAGCAATCTATGCTGTTATACAGGGTATGGTTTTGTAAAATAACGCACATCTCAGGGGACACTGATGCCAAAAAAAATATTTTAAAAAAATCATGGAAATGTCCATGAAATCAATGGTATTATTACGCGGGCTAACTATAGGACAAGTCCCCCCGCTTTCCCAAGGCGGCGTTCGCATGTGCTCGATGGTGTTGCGGGGTACGCGGGGGTGGTGGGGGCGGTAATAAGCGCCGTCTTGAAAGTTTTAGGAGACGTTTGAACAAGGTTTTTACTTTCATGTATACTACCACCCTTTAGATGGGCGTTGTTTTTCAAAACCACACCCTGTATAGCGGTCCATTTATTTATTGCACATTGTCAAGTTGGGTGAGCCTGTATAAATCGTCTCTAATGATAGGAAATCGCATAGTATGAGCAGTTATAGTGGAATGTAGTTATTATTGTGATTTCGTAACGAATGATTACAATGTAGCTAGGGATAAACGTTCAAATGGAGATGCATAAGTAATTCACGCTTTAATTACGCGAAAATATATGGCACCATATTAATCACCACTCGGTAGCCACTTAAAAAATTGTAGTTTCACAGTTGCGCACGAAGTTACGTGATTCTCAAATGAGGGTTTCCTTAATTGCGTTCAACAGTTGGCACCCCTGACTGACGAGTGGTCCATGAAAGACCTTTTACCTTACTCGACAGTGGCGCCAATTTGGTGGTTGCACCTATATTATATCGCGCCATCACCAGATGGCGCGGCTATAATATAGTCTATTTTATGACTAGAATTTTAAAACGATCATAAACGATGCTCAAACAAAACTATATTTTAACCAATCAATAACAGGCTAAAATCTAATTAAATGAAAATATATCCTACCATGTCGTGCTTTCTATTTTATCAGGGCTTAGATTTTCTACACCAGCTATTAAATTGCGTTTTAAAAGGCACAAATATTGATTGATTTGGTATTTGATTTTGTTTATTAGTTCGGTTTTTCTGTGATTATTTTTTGTATACCTACCTATTTGTTTTTCTTAGTTAATACAGTTTGTGGCTCAACCATTGTACGTTTTTAAACGAAGGCAGATCGACTAATGTTAAAAATATTGTAAGCGTTCAAATCAAATAACCAAGATAATATTGTTTTAAAATCATTGATTAATTAAGAACAGGACTAGTCATATTTCTGTCAAGGCATATTTTATAGCTTGAATGTATATTTGGAACTTAATGTAACCTATCTATGAATAACTAGTAATGTTAGACAAATGTCTAAAATTCGAATATCTTTGTCAAATTAATTTTAATTATATGAATTAGTTATAATCTCATTTATTCCTAACAAACACTTTACCTACTACAATGTAAAAATATACAACGTGTCCCAAAATTCAAGGATCGGATGAAGCTGGCGTCGCTGGATGGACATAGTCATGACTACTTTAGGAAAAATAAGGAAAAAAATCTATCTCAATTATTTTTTAAGTTACGTAATAAATTACGAAATTCTTTGAAAATTGACACCCCTTATGATATTTTACATTACCACGACCACCATTTTTCAAATATTTCTGTTTTTTTTTTGTATCGACAACTGAAGTAGTGCTGCTGTCCACCCCAACTCTTAAAACCCCCAGAATCCTTGCAGTTTTTACACAAAAGTTAATCAAAATATGTTATTGCCTTAAAATTTTCAACGATTTTTACTTTCACTCCACTTTGACTCATCGTTTTGTAAAAAAAAAGTATGAACACTACTGCGGCAAGTTTTTTACAAAGTTGACGCAACTATCCAAGATTCCAAAATGGTATAATACTCTAAGAAACCTAGTCGCAAAAAAGATATGCGTACCATTTTTACAAGCACTTCGCTTGTTAGTTAGTATAGGGATAAATCTTGCAACTGAATTTAAAACCAGTTCTCCTCACTTCAACTGGCATTGGATTCAACATCGGATTCTGACACTTTTACAGTTATGATACCATGAATATCAGTTTATGGTCCTAATTATTTTTATTTTATTTACGACCTTCGACCAGTTGGACACTTTAGATATCTTCTTGTAATAGTGTCAAACTGTCAATATCTTTTTAGCTTTTAACGCAAATCTAGTCTTCAAAGCAGTTTAATCGATTTATTTTATTTTCAAAATCGATATTTTATTGTCTATGATGGCCGCAGGAACATCACTATACATGGACTCCCAGCAATAAAGTACGGTAATGCCTCGTACAGATTTTATCGGCAAAAATTATGGAACTTGATAGGTTTTAGACCATGCCACGCACCAAAACGTCCGGAAGTTGTAATAGTATTATAGAATAAACGTTAAAAGACTTATTTATTTAATTTTTCAATGCTTAAGTGTCCATTAGAATGAAAGGGTGCTTAATGTATTAAAAAAAATAGAAAATAATTATGATGGGTTAATGTTTTTGGGCGGTTTTTTAGGCGGTTTCTGACAATGTCCTTTGGTATACTTATGTAAATACGATGAAAACGCAATATTATGGTACCATTGAGCTGAATGGAGACTGGAGGTGGCCATAGGAACGAAACGGCGGAATTGCATCTAGTTTGGGTTCGTTGGATTTGTCTTTTCGAGCACTTTAGTGCTAGATGATGTCCAGGGTCCTGATGATGAAGTCAATTATAATTTTCAAACGAAGTCGAGCTTGTTTTTAAAAAAGTTTTTTTTTATTACAACTTTATTTTAAACTTTTTAGTTGTTTCTCAATCTCATGGCACAAGTGCTCGGGAAGACAAATCCAACGAAACCATACTCGATAAGCTTCCGCCGTTTCGTTTAGGAGTTCCTATGGCCAGCTCCTGCCACCTCTTGACTTCATCATCAGGACCCTGGACATTCTAGCACTAAAGTGCTCGAAAAGACAAGTCCAACGAACCCAAACTAGGTGCAATTCCGCCGTTTCGTTAAGAGTTCCTATTGCCACCTCCAGACTCCATCCAGCTCAATGGTACCATAATATTGCATAATCATCGTACTTACACAAGTATACCAAATTTCAGCTCAATTGGTTAAGGAGAACTGGTTTTAAATTCAGTTGCAAGATTTATCCCATACTAACTAACAAGCGAAGTGCTTGTAAAAATGGTACGCATATCTTTTTTGCGACTAGGTTTCTTAGAGTATTATACCATTTTGGAATCTTAGATAGTTGCGTCAACTTTATAAAAAACTTGCCGCAGTAGTGTTCATACTTTTTTTTTTACAAAACGATGAGTCAAAGTGAAGTGAAAGTAAAAATCGTTGAGAATTTTAAGGAAATTACATATTTTGATTAACTTTTGTGTAAAAACTGCAAGGATTCTGGGGGTTTTAAGAGTTAGGGTGAACAGCAGCACTACTTAAGTTGCCGATATAAACAGAAAAACAGGAATATTTGAAAAATTGTGTTTGTGGTAATGTAAAATATCATAAGGGGTGTCAATTTTCGTCGAATTTCATAATTTATTGTGTAAGTTAAAAAATAATTTAGATAGATTTTTTCCTTATTTTTCCTAAGGTAGTCATGACTATGTCCATCCTGTGGCGTCGGCTTATCCTTGAATTTTGGGACACGTTGTATAAATGTAGGTTAAAACAAATATATTTAGGTAGTAAAAGTAAGTTCTGCTTAACATAATATCTCAGGATTAACATGAAACATTATTATTACACTTTGATTTATATCAAACCATTTTTAATTCTACGCGTAGGAAATACAATGGTTAATTGTGATGTTAGTACTTACACGTTTACTGTACTGATTTCTTTTGATATTAATTTGTAATTTGTTGATTTATTGCTTCGCTAAATTAATAAATTGTTTTTAGTTTAATGATGCTTTGTGATTTCTTTTTATTTACATTTGCGACATTCGACAGGTGCCTTACCTAGCGGTTTTGTTCCTTATGTTGCACTGTTTCAACATGTACACAATACTGCAGACTCTGAAAAAGAAAACGCAGAGTAGCATGAAGCTCCGTTATAGGTTGCGCGCCATCGCATACCGCCTCTCCAATGAGCTCGCCGTGCTGGTACGTGCACAGATTGTTTTTAGGGTTAAACAAGCCGCATATTCCAACGAACTTTGTCTAGTGCTTATTGGTTATACAGTGTGTCCGGGCATGTAGTGATCAAACTTTAAGGGCGTAATCTATGGACAATTTTATCGGTGAAAATATTTTAAATTTGGGGCTTGACCCATTTCTCGCATATTTACAAGGATTTAAGTTTTTAATTTTAAGTTTTCACCTCTTCCTTCAAAAACAAGTGATAGCGTGGGTCGTTTAACATTATTAAGCAAAAATTTTATATCATGCGATAGCCAATAAAATTTTCTATTAGTAGAAGTAGAAAACAGATACAAGTTTCATAAATTTTAAGGGTGTAAGAATGGATTTAATTAGAAATAAACATGATTTTTTTCACATCTTTTTCAGTTATTTCCCAACACAAGAAAAACCAGGTCGTTAAGGTATGTTTTATTTGCATTTTATTATTAGTATTTGAGCTATTCTACAAAACGAATGTAAATTTATTAGTCTACGTCTATTAGTTTCGACGTAATTGTTGAATAAAGATACCATTCTACAAAACGAATGTAAATTTATTAGTCTACGTCTATTAGTTTCGACGTAATTGTTGAATAAAGATACCTCTTCCCAGTGGTTTCCATAGCGCACGCGACATGCGAAAATGCACTGCCTGAAAGAATCACACAACCTATTCCGATTACTATGGGAACCGCTGGGAATGGGTATCTCTGTTCAACAATTACGTCGAAACTAATAGACGTAGACTAATAAATTTACATTCGTTTTGTAGAATGGCTCAAATACTAATAATACAATGCAAATAAAACATACCTTAACGACCTGGTTTTTCTTGTGTTGGGAAATAACTGAAAAAGATGTGAAAAAAATCATGTTTATTTCTAATTAAATCCATTCATACTCCCTTAAAATGTATGAAACTTGTATGTGTTTTCTACTTCTACTAGTAGATAATTTTATTGAGTATCGCATGATATCAAATATTCGCTTATTAATGTTAAGTTACCCACGTTTTCACTTGTTTTTGAAGGAAGAGGTGAAAACTAAAAATTAAAAACTTAAATCCTCGTAATTTTGCGACAAATAGGTCAAGCCACAAATTTGAAGTATTTTCATCGATAAAATTGTCCATAGATTACGCCATTAAAGTTTGATCACTACAAGCCCGGACACACTGTATAAATGTTACGGTTAAAGTGATAAATGTGAAAATTATGAATAATCGCCGGTTATTATGAATAATTACCACATGATTTGGTAAATGTGATTAATATAAGATCATTTATGTGTGTATAAAACTAAATAGGCGGCTTAGGGGTGGCCCAAGGGCCACCCCCGCGGCACCCTAACCTATTTTTCACTTTAAATCAAAACAATGTGTTATAGGCATTATGGTAAAGTAATGTAACGCAAGAAACAGTCCAAACTCATTTTGCCAAATTATATTAATATATGATATCAAAACGTTTAAAGTGTGAGGCTGTACATGAGCGCTGTACACGAGCCGGTGTTCTCTTTTATGATAGTCGTTAGTACTAANAAACCAGGTCGTTAAGGTATGTTTTATTTGCATTTTATTATTAGTATTTGAGCTATTCTACAAAACGAATGTAAATTTATTAGTCTACGTCTATTAGTTTCGACGTAATTGTTGAATAAAGATACCTCTTCCCAGTGGTTTCCATAGCGCACGCGACATGCGAAAATGCACTGCCTGAAAGAATCACACAACCTATTCCGATTACTATGGGAACCGCTGGGAATGGGTATCTCTGTTCAACAATTACGTCGAAACTAATAGACGTAGACTAATAAATTTACATTCGTTTTGTAGAATGGCTCAAATACTAATAATACAATGCAAATAAAACATACCTTAACGACCTGGTTTTTCTTGTGTTGGGAAATAACTGAAAAAGATGTGAAAAAAATCATGTTTATTTCTAATTAAATCCATTCATACTCCCTTAAAATGTATGAAACTTGTATGTGTTTTCTACTTCTACTAGTAGATAATTTTATTGAGTATCGCATGATATCAAATATTCGCTTATTAATGTTAAGTTACCCACGTTTTCACTTGTTTTTGAAGGAAGAGGTGAAAACTAAAAATTAAAAACTTAAATCCTCGTAATTTTGCGACAAATAGGTCAAGCCACAAATTTGAAGTATTTTCATCGATAAAATTGTCCATAGATTACGCCATTAAAGTTTGATCACTACAAGCCCGGACACACTGTATAAATGTTACGGTTAAAGTGATAAATGTGAAAATTATGAATAATCGCCGGTTATTATGAATAATTACCACATGATTTGGTAAATGTGATTAATATAAGATCATTTATGTGTGTATAAAACTAAATAGGCGGCTTAGGGGTGGCCCAAGGGCCACCCCCGCGGCACCCTAACCTATTTTTCACTTTAAATCAAAACAATGTGTTATAGGCATTATGGTAAAGTAATGTAACGCAAGAAACAGTCCAAACTCATTTTGCCAAATTATATTAATATATGATATCAAAACGTTTAAAGTGTGAGGCTGTACATGAGCGCTGTACACGAGCCGGTGTTCTCTTTTATGATAGTCGTTAGTACTAAGGATACATTATGAAATAATCACTAATAAATGTGATTAATTTATCACTTTTACCTCGCCTGTCGGTAATTATTCATAATAACCGGCGATTATTCATAATTTTCAATTTATCACATTAACCGTAACATAAATATCGCTAAATAATCATTGAATGAACTGGAATTCGCTATGTAACGTTTTTTTAAGAACATTAGCAATCATCATCGTTGCACTTTACATACCGAAGCTGTTCATACAAAATAATATTTTATTTGTATCATATTTAGGTCTATAACTGTGTCATAGCAGAGACAATGTTTAGTTGGAACTCGGTTTGGCTTGAATTACTTATTTTGCCTATGAAGCTCCACCCACTCCTTATGGGCGGAGCTTCGAATGCATGTTAGGTGCCGTCTGCTGCAGTATTGTCGTATATTTTATAAACATATGGATAATTGGATATGGATAATTTTATTATTATGGTCCTACTGGTGGTTTTATACATGTTTTGCTATTTAAAAATCCATGGTTGACTTATTTGACAAGACTACATTAAAATTATTTTGGTTTTATGAGGTTTACGTGGTTATCAATATGTATAATCGTGGTTATATATTATTGTATATGTGTATGTAAAGGGCTTATTTTTATCACAATTTACTGAATCAGGGTACGGAAATGTTAAACCTCATTTTAAATCTTAATAAAGTAACAACAATAAAACCACAATAAAATAGTCCTAGAGATAAACTTCATTTTAAATCTTAAAATACTAAAGTAACTAAATAATACATCATACTAGTAATTAAATAACAATACCTTCTAATTTGGCGTATCATCACTTAACTAAGTGGTGGAGGAATTCCATCCTAGCTAGTACTGTTAGCTCATCAGAAATAGACGACGCTCTGAAAGTAACATCTCTTTAGACGAGCTGAACATCTTGTAAGTTTCAATAAAAGTAACCTAGAAATCGCAGTTGTCCACCAGACTTCCAATATTATTAGTAGGTAGGTAGAGCGAGCGAAGAACCATTCACCATTTATTTGTAGTAACAGAGGTACCTAGTTGTTGAAAATTTTCATACATTTCGAAGAAGTTTCTCTACTCTAATATTGGGTGCGGATGTGTGCTGTGCCGTGATTGTGAAGTTTGAATTTTTTAAATGTTTATGTATTGATTTGTTAATGTTTTTTATAACTTTGGTTGAGTTATGTAGTGTCTGTCTGTGTACGTAGGACCCTCCACTAGCGCGACAGGTGTGAGGTACGGTGTTGGTAAGTAAATTAAATGTTAACGGGTTTTGGCTATCTTCCTATTAGGGATTAAGGTTTTCTATGGTTTTAAGGGTTGAACTAACTAATCCAATCCATTTTCCGTAATATGGTTCATTATTATCTGACTTATTTAGCAACATTTTGCACCTATTAGTTGAGTTTATTTCAAAAGTGCGAGCACCATACCAAAAATTAAAGGCACTTAGCATAAATGAATTCGTTAAGAAGACTTGAACACTAGCAATAGTATAGTAGCAAGTACATTAGCATGATTCAGTATTAGTAGGTTTAATTTTATGCATATATTATCATTCTTTCTTACATATGGTATAGGTTTTCCCAGTAAGTTTTAACGAAATTAATTTCCATTCTTTCATCCATCACCCAAAAAATATCCAAACGGAAATATCTGTTGGCCTAACTCATCTATGTATAAAATATTTTATACACAACTACTAAGGGTATTAATCTATGAATGCTTAAATAAGTATAATTTTTTAAACATTTGATAATTATTTACAGGAACAAAAATGGAGACAGAATAAATTGGAACCAAAATCAGAATAATGTTTTAATTGGTCTTTCTAAATGTGATTACTAAAACTGTTTTAAATGATGAATGGTTATTTCTCTAATGATTGTATAAATGAACTCAATACAGTTTATATTTTCGTATTTCATAATATTTGTAAGAATATGTATACTATGGTGTTATATCTCTTGTGTAAATATAGTTATTTAACAAAATATGTGTGGATGTTATTTTCCCTGAGAACCTACATTTTCAACTCATTTTTAGTCCTTGAACTTTAGTAAAGGTTTTTAAAAACAAACAGCATGGTATAATCACATATTTTAATATGTAAAGTAGTAAAGTTGATCCTACTGTCTAGGAACAAGCAGGATCACACGCATTTAATCTTAACCCAACAAAGGAAAAAAATAATTTTGTTATTGCTATTTAATTTATCATCTATATTTACATTACATCACCAAAACTAACTTCATTTTCTTAGGAAATAATAAATATACAAATTACGCTTGTATTATTCTAATAATAGATTAACATTGTATTTAATTGTCAACAGAAAAAAAATAATGCATTCTTAATTGTGAAAATTGTAATTGCAGATTTTTCAATCAGTCGGTAAACCATGCCAGGATAAGTATTTTCCTTATTATGTACATCACTATTAGTTGATTACATAAGCAAGATTTATACAAGTATTTAGTGCTAAATCAAGGTATTACATTAATGTAAAAATAGTTTAAATTGGGGAGGATTTTTTTATCAATCATCGTCAGGCTCTTCAGTTGTGTAGTTATTATCTTCATCTGAATGGTCACTGTCATTACTTACATCTAAACGTGGTTTCTTCACCAGAAGTCCCTGCTTCTGCAACTTCTCTATTGCTTCTAAAGTGTTCCGCTTTGAAGCACTCTGTTCACTAGACTCACATTTTTCTTCAACTTTTGAAGCTTTCATTTGACTAGTTTTCACTACTTTTAAACCAGACATGCTATTCAGCCTTTCCAGCTGTTGCGTGCTGGCGCTCATTTCCGATCTCATTTGTGTAGAAGTCACAACTTTGCTACCTTTGACAGTCTTCGTAGAGGAGCTAAAGTTAGATTTACTCATTTGCGAAGATGAATATTGAACAACTGCTTCACTGTTTTGGTCATTAGTAAAAGTCGGGATGTCAGATACAGGAATCAAAGATTCTTTCGGTTTTTTGAAACAGCTAAAATGTCCAGCAGGCTCATCAGTAGGCCTTTTTGTCGTATTCACTGCATGTGGGGACATTTTAAATTGTTTCTGTTGGTTTCCTGACGTCGAAGGTACAGCCTTCTTTGGGCCCGCCATTCTGGGGCGACTCATCCTTGCTGTATTCGTTGCCGGTCTTACAGGAACTAATTGGTTGCAGGGCCTCACAGGAACGATTTGATTTGATGGCCTTACTGGGACAATTTGATTGGAAGGCCGAATAGGAACAATTTGATTGGAAGGGCGAACAGGGACCATCTGATTGGAAGGTCTTACTGGAACTAGCTGATTAGACGGCCTGACGGGAGTGCCAATTGGCGGTCTATTAACTGCTGCACCCTTGACTTTAGTCCCCGCAGGAGGCGTTGCCTGCTTGACCGTAACACCCTGGAAATTTTTTACTTGATTGGACGACTTCATTCCTTGCACCCTTTGAAACGCCGTTTGATTACTTTGAACGTTTTGAACCTCTTGCTTAACAGTTTGGTTCACTGTTTTAATAGTTTTAGTAACAGTGGTCGTAATTTCTTGAATAACTGTTTTTGTTTGAAAGGTTTTAACAGTCACTTCTTTATTTACAGTATTTTGTTGGCTACATGAGGCGGTGTTCTGACTCACCGACCGAGCTATTTGTGATGCGTTCTTTATTTTTTTGTTCACGGCAGTTTCCACCGCATCTCGAGTTTCGGGTTTTGATTGCTTGAAAGGTTTTATCGAGAGATCAGTATTCAACATTGGTTTAGTTTGGTCAAGTTTAGGCGCTGATCCCTTTTTTTCAGACAGTGACTTGATGGTTATGTTTTTATTCATATTCTGTAAATTTAGCATTTGAGCTGTGATGTTCGTTGGCTTTTTGAGTGTACTGGATTTGATATGGTATTCGAGATCGGATAAGTTGCCATCAGGATCGTCGTCGAAGTCATGGTCATCATCGTCGCTGTGTGGTTCTGCAGGAGACGTTACAGGGGCAATTTCATTCATGTCTACTTGATCCGCCATATCATCATCGCTCATTCCGTTATCTTCAGTTATTTCTGATATTTTTACGCCGCCTTTGTAGGAGTCAGAGTCGCTGTCGCCGGCGTTGTCCGGATCTTCATCGAACGTGTCTTTGGGGTCTTGGTCTTTACCAGACTTAACTGATAGACTTGGGGAAGGTATCCCCGATTTAATTGTAATATGTTTACTCAATCCCTTCAAAGTCTTTTGAAGATTATCATTTTTTAGTGCTTGCGTCTGTTTGTTAGCAGGTATTAAATTATTCAATGTTTGGTTATCATCGTCTTCGTCTTCAGAAAATTGAGATAAGGAAAAAGGTACTTTACTAGGCATTTTCTCAACTTTTATTTGTTGAACATTATTTTTTCTCAATGGCGGTCCTTGCTGATTTATACTTTTTACATTGACACTTTGACTGATATTTTTTAATTTCTCTATGGATTTAATAGGTGTATTTTCACTTACTTTTGGTTTTGAAGGGGGAGTGTTAATCGAAGGTACTTCATCGTCAGAATCATCAATATTAAAAATTTCTACTTCTTGTTCCTTTTCTTCTTTCTTGACTAAGTTTGGAACAATAGTTCTCTTAATGGGTGCATTACTTTCTTGCACCTTGTTTTTTATTGTGCTAACCGGTTTTGCTGTGACATTAGATAGATGTTTTAGGAGATCAATATTAGATGATTTTAAAGTCTCTTTCTCATTAGTAACTTTCAGGTTTTGAAGGGTTTTTGTGGCTGGTGAAGATTGCGACTTAGAATCTAGATTTTTAGATAGAGAAGTTCCTTTATTTGCGTTTGAAACATTAAGTACTGATGTATTTTTTTCTAATGTATTATTGGTTTCTTCTTCATCATCCGAATCCATATCTTTATCATTTTTCGGCGAATGTGACAAAGATTTGATCGTAATGTTCTTACTCAACTTTTTCAAATGTTCTAATTTATTTAATGTACTTTCATTTTTTTCCTTAACCGGTTCAGGGTAGATTTCTTTTTGTTTTTCAGGCGTCTGTATTCCGTCTTTTTCATCTAAATCGGAATCATTTTGTGGTTCAAGAAAACTAGAATCTTTTTGTTCAGTAGGTGTTGGCGCTGGCGAAGCTGGAGCAGATCCTTTTTTGGAAGAAACTGGTTTAATTGTGATCAGATGACTTAAGTGTTTCAGAGCATTAAGAGTATTGTTCTGATCTACAGGACTTTTTGAGTTCCTTTCTAAATCACATTCAGTCTTATCTTCAGTATTATTTATACTTCCATTTTTTGCGGTAATTGCATCTTCCATGTTAGAAATCGTCGAACAAGGAGGCTTTTCAGAAATAAGCTTATTTTTAGAATGTAGCGGTATGACGGTTTTCTGGGTTATATTCTTTTCTTCATTAAAATTGTCTTTTTCGACATGGTCATGGTCATGCCTATCTTCATCGTCGTCACTTTTATTACTTGCACTAGCCTCTTCTTTCTTAGGACAGATAACATCATTGTGCACACTATCATCACGGTAATTATTTTGTGCTATTGTTTGCGCCGTTTTAACTTTCGATGTTGATTCTTCCTTGGCTTCATTTTCGGAAGATGTAGTTTCACTTGGCACATTAACATCGCACTCTACTTCTATGTTCTCTGGTGTCGGTCCTCTTTCACCGACATTTGTTTGGTCTTCACTGGTTTTAAAGGATTTATCGTTCTCTTCAGATTCCTCAGCATTTTCTTGAGATGAAATCTTTTTAACGATTTTTATTTGATTATTGCTCTGATTGATCAACTTTGATAAAACTTCATCAGATGTGGACTGTATTTGTGTTGAGGATTTACTCTCAATTGCAGGTATTTTAGTTAGCACTTTATCCCCTACAACTATTTTCTGCAGCAATGGTTTTTTCGTAGGTTTCATTTTAACTATAATACCTTGCTTTTTAAGTTTCTCTAAATTTGATGACTCAAATGATTTGATTGCAGCCATTGTTGGTTTCTTTTGCTTTAACCTTTTTGTAACTACTTGTCTTGGAACTTCTTCTACACCCTGAAAGTCCAAACCTTCTCCAAATACATCTTTATTCATATTCAAAAATTCATTTAGTGTGATAGCAGACTTCTTTGATTTTTTATGTTTTTTGTGCTTTTTGGTTTTAACCCTATGTTCATCTTCAGTTTTGTCGAGGGAGTTACCAATAGCTCTCTCTAGAAATGTTTCCTGAAACAATTATTTTCTTTGATTTATCTATACTACAGGAGCAAAACATTACCAGATCCAAGATGTACCAGTAAGTACTGATTGAGTCTAAAAAAATCTTTTAAGGTTTGAGTGCAGTATGCAGTCTAGGCTATTTTGATTTGATAATATTCCTAAGAGTAATTTTGAATGCTTTAAAAACAACATTTGTGGTGCAAAATCAATTACTTACCACACCAACAGCTTGCATTTCACTTTCTATATCTTGGGGCTCAGCATTTTCAACTTTCTCCATTTGTGGTGGGACAGTCTCTAAAGAAAACTCTGTCAATTGCTCAAACCTAAAATAATTTACATTTATAATAAAACTGGCATTCATGTGATTCAAAAGGTTAATATAAATATTTATGTAGAATATTTACATTTCATTTTTCTCACTGTACAAGTCTTCTTTGCTGTGAAATGTAATGTGCAATTCATATGCATCTAAATGAAAGAAGATTGCATCACAGACTGGACATCGTAACACATCTTCAGGGCTTTGATTCTCATCACTGTGATCATCATTTATGTGTTTCTGTAAGTAAACAAGTTGAGTAATTTTATTATTAACTACAAACTAGTAAATTAAGATCTTAATTTTACTAATAATTCTTTTTAATTTTGCTCTTGATAGAGAAGATAAAAACATGCAGTGCATGACTCCAAAAAGTTAATACTTACATGTAAGTTAACTTTGTTGTCATATTCATCTCCACAAAAAGAGCAATAATATATTTGTAACACAACATTCTGTAAAATAAAATGAGGTCAATAAGTAAATAAAATTCATCAAAATTAATAATACACACTATTTAGCAGAACAATAGATTTTATTGCATAAAATGTAGCATAATACCAAAAGGTAAGTAAAGAAGTCTTTCAAGAAATTCAACAATTTTATACACAATATAAAAATTAGCAGCTACTGTGGTGAAGTGTGTGAGGGGTGAACATAGGGCAGTAGCGTCTGAGCTCTTTTTAGGATTATTTCATTTTAGTTATGCCTAAATGCCTGTAATTTTCTCAATAATTACCTGTGGGCACATCTTCAATTTTTTTGACTGACCAATACTAGGTAGGTCTGTGTCTTGTCTATGGAAAAACTTATTGTGGTATAACATAGCAGATGGCATGAAGAAGTCAACGTTACAAGCGTCACAGTGGAAGTGGCTGTCGTCTGTCTGCTCTGCATCCACATGATTTGATTGCAAATGCTTGTTGTATAGGTGCTGAAATTATAAAAATAAGTCTTATTTATTATTAATAGTATAAACATTCTACATCCAGTAAAAAACATCCAATACATTATCTATTCTATCAATAAACATCAATAAAGAAATAAAATTGCCACTGACTAAAACACACTGTGCATAGTGATAATAGAGATAAGAGGCAAGGGGGGAGAAGTGGGGAGGGGGCACAGTTCTTTATTACTGGTCAAAATCCACATAGACATAACCTCACCTTCATTGTAAATAGTTTTCCACACCAAGGACAGAAGTATTTCGCGTCGTGGTCAGGGTGCATCTTGTGTTTGTGAGTGATGGCTTTAGATATTGTAGGGAACATTTCGGAGCACACATCACAGCTAACCATTTCCACCTCTTCATTTTTTTTCGCAGCTGATGCTTGAGCCTCATTTTGTGGCCGGTTCTTTTTCAAACTTTGGTTAAACTTCGGATCACCATGTTTCCTGAAAATTATCAATGCTTCATCGTAAAAACGATAGGGTTTACCAATCTAATAACTATGTAATTTTTGTTTGATGGTAAATTTAGCAACTATAGATTTATGTACCTGAAGTGTATTTGTAAATCTTCCTTATTCACGAAGGTTTCCTTACAAAGTATACAATTGAATTCTTGTGTTGATGTCATTGTGGAAATTATAAGAAAATAAACTAATACGCGTCCGATCACACTGCACTCATCTTTGCTTTAATTTATAAACAGAACGTGTTTTCTAACTCATGCTACTTTACTAACTAGTTTTCTAATATTTTTCTCTGAAATGTATTAATCCTAGATTAATTACTTTATTAGAAATCCACACAAATCCATCCAAACAATCGCAAGCCATTTTACAATGCTACAACAATAATTTCATTTCCATTTTTGTTTGATCGTGGTTACGGATTTTTTGAAACTACTTTTGAATGTCACTTAGACCGATTGTCATTGGCCAGAAATAGTTTTGACGATTTCTATTGGTCATTAGAGATAGTTCTAAAAACTGCTATAGGCACTAAAAGCATAGTACCANTGTAGCAATTTGAGTTGTTCAGTTTTCCAATTTGTTAAACTCTTTGACCACCCCCACACTTCCATATTTCCAAGGTCATTTGTTGTACGTTTGGGGGTGGTAGTCCCGTCGCTGTGTCTATTAGTTTCTGTTCCAGGTTGAAGATCGTGTATGGGGCTGCTAACGCTCGCGACTTGAGGTCTGCACGCCAGAATACCTTGTGCCATCGTGGCACTACTAGAAGATAGGTTCCCGTTGCTGAATTGAGGTGATTGAGCACTTTCGGTATTAGGTATGGTGGGGGAAATACCCACCCTAGGGAGTAAGTCCAAATTTGAGAGAAGGCGTCGTGGAACAGTGCCTTTGTGTCGTAAAGATCTAGGGTCACGTAATTGTCTACTACGTGCGCTTGTCTCGAGGCGAATAAATCTATCAATGGTGTCCCGAATTTCCGAAATATTGTTTCTGTGCCTTGCACTATCAGATGCCATTCTGGTGGAGCTTTGTGTCGAGATAAGTGGTCGGCGTGACCGTTGTATAAGCCTGGTATGTGATGTACTATCGGGTTGATATGATTCGACTCTAGATAATGATACACTTCGTACGTAGCGTTCAATAGGAATTGAGATCGAGTTCCTCCTTGATTTTTTAGGTATGACACCACTGTTTGGTTGTCGCACTGGAATAAGGTTGTTGATCGGCTCAGAAACTTTGCGTGTTGTTCCAGTGTCTTTAGTATCGCAAGCATCTCTTTTACGTTGCAGTGGAGATATTTTTCTTGTTCGGTCCACGTTCCCGAGATTGACGTCCCATCCACTTGCGCTCCCCAGGCCACGTCGGACGCATCCGTGGTTACAAAGTGTATGGGCGGTGATGGGTGGATCTTCGACGATTGGCGGCAGCCGCTGAGCCACCATTTCAGATCCTCTATCGCATTCAATGGTNTTCAAATATTAATTATTTATTTCTTTAACTTCTGATTTGGTTAGTGAATTGGCTATTTCGAAAAATTTACAAGGAGATTTAAATAAGAAGATAGCAATACTACAGTTCACACTAAAAAGAGAGGTAGGGCCACAGAGAGCGAGATAGATATAAGTAGGTATTTGACTCAAATTTTTGTTCCAACTTTGCCCTCCATTTTTATCTTTAGCTTCATGGTACCACTGTGGTGGCGCTGTTCTTGTGAATTCATTTAAAAACAGCATCCATAATTTTATGAAAGTACTATTTTATTTTAGACAGCGTGTTAGTTATATTAAAACAAAGAACATAATCTAAGGCTTGTTACATCTCTGCGAGATTTAATAACGTATTAACGTTAAAAACCGTTACAAATATTGTATATTAGCGTTTGAGTTATTAGGAGCGTTTTACCTGAAATAAAACGCTTATTAAATACTTACCTTATTTGAAGCTTACTTGTTTGAGATAGGCCCCTTCCTGTTTTCCGCTTTTATGTCCCTTTCTTTCTATCTTATATCTTGTATCTCTCTCGCACACCTACCACTTCCGGTAACCAGGCAGGCGAGCCGACAAGTTTGGTCGGCGGCGATCGCTCGTCATTGAGTCGAAAAACACCAGGCAGAAGATAAAATGTAAGCTTCAAATAAGGTAAGTATTTAATAAGCGTTTTATTTCAGGTAAAACGCTCCTATTAAATCCTTGACCGTTATTTGAAGCTTACTTGTTTGAGACGTGTTTGTTATCGCCTGGTGGAAGTGGACGCCAATGTGATCTATGATGTAACTATGAGTATGGTAGGTGTGTAATAGACCGTTAGGACCTCAAAGAAAATTAGGTATGAACTTTTATAAAATAAAAGGGTAACTAAATAAAATTCATAGAGAGATATAAAAGAAAAAATATGTTTTATTTCCATCCATTCATAACTATAACATAAAACTTGTCATTATTTTATGAAAATTAAGTGACATTTTAAGAGAATATAATAATCATAACGCAAGTAACAATTTCTATTAATCAACAGGATTAAACATTCTAGTTATGTTGCTGCTCATAGCAATAGGCATTACTTCTCGCCTGTAAAAACGTTCAAAAGTATTGCCAGAACGCCAATTTCCTCTGGACAAAATCTCGTCGACGGGTAAATTGTCTACCCAATTCTTTGACGCTACTGCTGACCGAAAACTACCAGGAGTAGCGGATATGCCTGCCTCTTTTAGCAAAGTCTTTATCCATCCTGCAATAATTGTGCGAGAGGCAGCCTTAGGTTGACCTTTGACGGTCATAAACAAATTTGTCGATTTTGCTATTTTACGCCTGTCTTCAAGTAATGTTACAGTCTTTCGAACCCAATATACTGGACTGAGGTTCTTATTCTCCGAATTATCCAACAGTTTCCAGCCCGACTGTCTGTGATTGGTACTGTCGGTCTTGGAGCCGAATATTGGCCATAATATCAAACTCTCAGCGTTGTCTATTAGATGACTGGAATCCACAGCCAGTAAGGTCAAATCATGGACACGTCGCCCCGAACATAGCAAAAGAAGGGCAGCAGTGTGTCTTGAAGAGGCAAATAAACTATTTTCATCAATATTTATGGATGATAAATAAGACACCAATTTGTCAATATTCCAGACGGACGGTTTTCGGGGGACTGGTTTATTTAGACTAATCGATTTCAGGATGTGTTTAACCAGGACATGTGAACTTAAATCCCCTGAGGTTTCTGCATTACATAATGTTGCAACGACAGACTTGTGTAATAAAATAGTGTTGTACGCTAATTTATTCACTATATGTAAGTCTGCTAAGAACCTAGCAAGTGTTGGTCCAGAAGGGTTTAGATAATCCTCATCATTATCTTTTGTCCATTCAAGCCACCGATTCCAGGCTGCTTGATATGTTCTTCGTGTAGATGGACGCCAAGAAGACTGTAGCAATTTGAGTTGTTCAGTTTTCCAATTTGTTAAACTCTTTGACCACCCCCACACTTCCATATTTCCAAGGTCATTTGTTGTACGTTTGGGGGTGGTAGTCCCGTCGCTGTGTCTATTAGTTTCTGTTCCAGGTTGAAGATCGTGTATGGGGCTGCTAACGCTCGCGACTTGAGGTCTGCACGCCAGAATACCTTGTGCCATCGTGGCACTACTAGAAGATAGGTTCCCGTTGCTGAATTGAGGTGATTGAGCACTTTCGGTATTAGGTATGGTGGGGGAAATACCCACCCTAGGGAGTAAGTCCAAATTTGAGAGAAGGCGTCGTGGAACAGTGCCTTTGTGTCGTAAAGATCTAGGGTCACGTAATTGTCTACTACGTGCGCTTGTCTCGAGGCGAATAAATCTATCAATGGTGTCCCGAATTTCCGAAATATTGTTTCTGTGCCTTGCACTATCAGATGCCATTCTGGTGGAGCTTTGTGTCGAGATAAGTGGTCGGCGTGACCGTTGTATAAGCCTGGTATGTGATGTACTATCGGGTTGATATGATTCGACTCTAGATAATGATACACTTCGTACGTAGCGTTCAATAGGAATTGAGATCGAGTTCCTCCTTGATTTTTTAGGTATGACACCACTGTTTGGTTGTCGCACTGGAATAAGGTTGTTGATCGGCTCAGAAACTTTGCGTGTTGTTCCAGTGTCTTTAGTATCGCAAGCATCTCTTTTACGTTGCAGTGGAGATATTTTTCTTGTTCGGTCCACGTTCCCGAGATTGACGTCCCATCCACTTGCGCTCCCCAGGCCACGTCGGACGCATCCGTGGTTACAAAGTGTATGGGCGGTGATGGGTGGATCTTCGACGATTGGCGGCAGCCGCTGAGCCACCATTTCAGATCCTCTATCGCATTCAATGGTAGGTTTAGAACTTCTGACTCTGAACTGTCCAATTGGGAATTTAGAAACGTGAGTAGAGCACGGTGGTGCAGTCTGCCGTTTGGAACTACGAAACTTGCGAAGTTCAATAGCCCTATTAAGCTCTGTAGGTCTTTTAGATTGGTTTGGTGGTTCCTCAACATCAGCATAATTTTTCTGTTGATGTGTGCAATTTTTTCTCCAGGGAGCGTTTTTTGGTTTAACCAAGGGTCCCAGATGATTCCCAGAAAGGTAAGGCTTTTCTGTGGTGTGAGAAGAGACTTTTCCATGTTTATCTGCCACCCTAGGCTGCGCAGATGGCTCAACAGCAGATTGACATGTAGTTGCAAAGTATTTTTGTCTTGATGAACCACCAAAAAGTCGTCTAGGTAGACTATTATGCGTAACCCTTGCGTCCTCAGCGTTTGGGCTACCCAATTGGTCAGGGAAGCGAAAACTTTTGGTGCTGTGCTCAGACCAAAAGGGAGGCAAGTCATCTGCAGTAGTTCCCCTTTGTATACTAGTCGTAGGAAGCATCTGTGGCCTTCTGATACTGGAAGATGAAAATACGCATGCGAGAGATCCACTTTGCACAGCCAATCGCTTTTCTGAAGGAAGTCCGGCACACGAAAAACATTTACCAGATTGAAATGTTCTGTTATTATGAACTTGTTTAGAGCTTTTAAGTTGAATATAGGGCGGTTCGACCCATCGCTTTTTGGCACTAGGAACATTGTGGATAGAAAGCTGGGAGAACTTTGGGCAGTTTCTAAAACCCCTTGCTTTTTCATTTGTGATATGGCCGTGGTCATATCCGCAGAAACCATTGTTTGATGAGGTCCTTTCAAGTGTGGCATTATCAGGGGGGGCTTTCGGAAAAAAGGTATGCGATACCCTTTTATTATGCGTAAAAGGAAAGGAGGGGCTCCCCATTTCCTCCACTGGTCGTGGTAATACGCCAAGCGACCCGCCCTGAACATCCCCGAGTCAATACTTACGATTTTTGTTAGCCGAGTTAGAGTCCGCTGGGGCTCCGGCTCGCTTTCGGTTACCTCTATTGGAAGCCTGGTTTCTATTAAAGTTTCCTCGCGATGGTCGAAAGGAACCTCTTTGGTTGGGCACCGTGCGTCGGTCTGCCTGAGTGTAACCCGCTCCTTGCGAAGGGCGGTCGTAATAGTTGCCCTGCGAGGGCCGGTCATAACAGTAACCCTGCGAGGGTTGGTTATAATGCTGGTGTTGCGATGCGCAACAAGCATGATTGGTACCCTGCGAGGGTCCACGATTTTGAGTCGACCCCTGCGGGGGGTGACTAGAGGGCTTACTAGTCCCTGTTTGCGAAACAGAGGCATTCTTGTTTGGTTTATGCAGATTCATAAAGGCTTTCTTAACCCCACCAGCTTTTTCAAGAGCTGCAGTAAAGATTTCTGAACTGAAGAGATGCTGATTAGAAGGCGGTACTTTACGCAGCGCAGATTTAGTTAATGGATCACGCACAAAATTGATAATGCCATCACGACGCATTTGAATCACCTCGGCCCTGTGGCCGCAAATAAGTTGAAGCAGATCTGAAGATACCTTAAAGTATTCGCCATTACAAAAAAGATCGCTAATTTTACTGCGCAAGCCTTCCACATTGAGATTACTTTCACTACTAGCCCAAGACAAAAGTTCGGTCAAACTGGACGTCAAAGCTTCTTTTTGTTTAAAAACGCAAAAAGTAAGAGCAGAATAAGCCTTGTCTGCATATGCCAAGTGTTTCAATTGATCAAAAGCACGGACTTCTTCATTAACCTCAAGGTCTATGAAACCTGGGGTATGATTATACAGTTTTTGCACATCTGAGTAACGTACCTCACACCACTCTTTTTTATCGAAATGTTGAACATTTTGGAGTGATTTAACTAAAGCCTCCGGTGCTTTAGGAGTTGTGGGCTCCTTTAATTTAGTCCCCATATTAAAATCAAAAGGCTGGGGGTCGTGAGATTCGGATACAAGTTCTTCGGTTTCGTATAACATTCCACTAACGCTATCGTCAAATACGTCTTCGTCTATGCTATTTTGGCTACGCGTCGGTTGAACAGGCTCATCATGATCCTTGTAAGCGAGTTGAACTACGAAACTTGCGAAGTTCAATAGCCCTATTAAGCTCTGTAGGTCTTTTAGATTGGTTTGGTGGTTCCTCAACATCAGCATAATTTTTCTGTTGATGTGTGCAATTTTTTCTCCAGGGAGCGTTTTTTGGTTTAACCAAGGGTCCCAGATGATTCCCAGAAAGGTAAGGCTTTTCTGTGGTGTGAGAAGAGACTTTTCCATGTTTATCTGCCACCCTAGGCTGCGCAGATGGCTCAACAGCAGATTGACATGTAGTTGCAAAGTATTTTTGTCTTGATGAACCACCAAAAAGTCGTCTAGGTAGACTATTATGCGTAACCCTTGCGTCCTCAGCGTTTGGGCTACCCAATTGGTCAGGGAAGCGAAAACTTTTGGTGCTGTGCTCAGACCAAAAGGGAGGCAAGTCATCTGCAGTAGTTCCCCTTTGTATACTAGTCGTAGGAAGCATCTGTGGCCTTCTGATACTGGAAGATGAAAATACGCATGCGAGAGATCCACTTTGCACAGCCAATCGCTTTTCTGAAGGAAGTCCGGCACACGAAAAACATTTACCAGATTGAAATGTTCTGTTATTATGAACTTGTTTAGAGCTTTTAAGTTGAATATAGGGCGGTTCGACCCATCGCTTTTTGGCACTAGGAACATTGTGGATAGAAAGCTGGGAGAACTTTGGGCAGTTTCTAAAACCCCTTGCTTTTTCATTTGTGATATGGCCGTGGTCATATCCGCAGAAACCATTGTTTGATGAGGTCCTTTCAAGTGTGGCATTATCAGGGGGGGCTTTCGGAAAAAAGGTATGCGATACCCTTTTATTATGCGTAAAAGGAAAGGAGGGGCTCCCCATTTCCTCCACTGGTCGTGGTAATACGCCAAGCGACCCGCCCTGAACATCCCCGAGTCAATACTTACGATTTTTGTTAGCCGAGTTAGAGTCCGCTGGGGCTCCGGCTCGCTTTCGGTTACCTCTATTGGAAGCCTGGTTTCTATTAAAGTTTCCTCGCGATGGTCGAAAGGAACCTCTTTGGTTGGGCACCGTGCGTCGGTCTGCCTGAGTGTAACCCGCTCCTTGCGAAGGGCGGTCGTAATAGTTGCCCTGCGAGGGCCGGTCATAACAGTAACCCTGCGAGGGTTGGTTATAATGCTGGTGTTGCGATGCGCAACAAGCATGATTGGTACCCTGCGAGGGTCCACGATTTTGAGTCGACCCCTGCGGGGGGTGACTAGAGGGCTTACTAGTCCCTGTTTGCGAAACAGAGGCATTCTTGTTTGGTTTATGCAGATTCATAAAGGCTTTCTTAACCCCACCAGCTTTTTCAAGAGCTGCAGTAAAGATTTCTGAACTGAAGAGATGCTGATTAGAAGGCGGTACTTTACGCAGCGCAGATTTAGTTAATGGATCACGCACAAAATTGATAATGCCATCACGACGCATTTGAATCACCTCGGCCCTGTGGCCGCAAATAAGTTGAAGCAGATCTGAAGATACCTTAAAGTATTCGCCATTACAAAAAAGATCGCTAATTTTACTGCGCAAGCCTTCCACATTGAGATTACTTTCACTACTAGCCCAAGACAAAAGTTCGGTCAAACTGGACGTCAAAGCTTCTTTTTGTTTAAAAACGCAAAAAGTAAGAGCAGAATAAGCCTTGTCTGCATATGCCAAGTGTTTCAATTGATCAAAAGCACGGACTTCTTCATTAACCTCAAGGTCTATGAAACCTGGGGTATGATTATACAGTTTTTGCACATCTGAGTAACGTACCTCACACCACTCTTTTTTATCGAAATGTTGAACATTTTGGAGTGATTTAACTAAAGCCTCCGGTGCTTTAGGAGTTGTGGGCTCCTTTAATTTAGTCCCCATATTAAAATCAAAAGGCTGGGGGTCGTGAGATTCGGATACAAGTTCTTCGGTTTCGTATAACATTCCACTAACGCTATCGTCAAATACGTCTTCGTCTATGCTATTTTGGCTACGCGTCGGTTGAACAGGCTCATCATGATCCTTGTAAGCGAGTTGCTGACACAGATCGTCAACTCGTTGCGCGAGATTCCCTAAAAGCATCTCAGTTCGAGAGTCCCCTTTTGCTTTTTTAGAACGATGTCGCCGTCGTCGGCGAGGCGAACGATGGCGCGAGGAGCTACTGGAGGTGCTCGAGCTGGATGACGAAGTCGACGAGCTGCTGCTAGACGACCTATTTCGTTTTCGGTTCCGATGACGCGACGTGGCACGCTTAGGTTTATGCGCAGATGATCGTGTTTCACTCGTCATATTGTTCGTTTGAACGTTTGAATCACTCATTCTATAACGAAAACGAAAGAAATTCCAAAGAAAAATTCGCTAACGAATTGTAAGTAATTTGGAGGTAGGAAGTAAAACACGAAAAATCTAAATTATTAACAAAATAATCTATACCGTTATTTTATGATTACGCAGGGACAAAATAAAATTAAAAATTTTAAGTAACCCACTGATGGTTTACAAAAAGAAAATTTCACTATATCGAACGGAAAAACCGTTATTATCACTATTTATAAAATGTTCAGTACTTACATGAGGAAGATGTGCACTGAAGCTTCTATTTTAATAATTTAATTGCAAAGTTGTAGCACTTGTGTCTAGACAACCTTTCGCGGCGGAAAACAAGACGCCAATGGCGAGCGATCGCCGCCGACCAAACTTGTCGGCTCGCCTGCCTGGTTACCGGAAGTGGTAGGTGTGCGAGAGAGATACAAGATATAAGATAGAAAGAAAGGGACATAAAAGCGGAAAACAGGAAGGGGCCTATCTCCAAACAAGTAAGCTTCAAATAACGGTCAAGGATTTAATGTATGTTTATGTCGCTCAACGAAAATTGAGGCGAAGTGCGAACATGCACTGACACCGATGTAATATTTGAATACAGAACACAAACAAAGTTAAAAAGCTAGCTAGCTTCTAGCTACCGCACTCTTCTTTGTTTGCAAGCAGGATAGAAAACATTTTTTTCAGTCCGAAATCCGAATACACAATAATATGTCGGCGTTGACAGCATTACAGATACAAAGGATGATGGGCACTTTTCTATGGAATCTGGGCGTAAAACCAACAGAAATGTAACTACTATTATTTGTTAGGACTTTTTTTTCTTCTGTGCTTCATCTGCAATCAGTCTCCCGACTATGAGCGGATGAGTTGTAGTGTCCTTTGCATGATAAGTGTCTTCTCCACTGAGAAGACTACTTCTTTATGTATTTCTACACTCTCCAGTGCAGACTCAGGATGTCATGCCTCTTGAGGCGTTTGCTATAGCTTTTTTGGAGCAGTTCCGAAGCCAGCTCATTGGGGTGCAGGGCCAGCCGTTCTTGGTAGCTTTCTGCAGTGGATCGTATTTCCTCCAACACTGTGTTCATCTGCAGGGCCTCGTGGATCTCGGTGTTTGTAACTAACCATGGGGCACATGATATGGTACGCAGAATTATATTCTGAAGCCTCTGTATCATGGAGAGGTTTGAGTTGCATGCACTACCCCACAGCTGTATTCCGTACATCCAGATGGGTTTCAGTATGGATTTGTAGATTAGCAACTTGTTGTCTGTGGAGAGTTTACTGTTGCGTCCGAGAAGCCAGAGCAGCGACTTGTATTTAATATTGAGTTCTTCTCTCTTTGCCTTAATATGGTATTTCCATGTCAATCTGCGATCGAGGTGCATACCGAGATATCTTACTCGGTCGGTGTGAGGCAGAGTATTATCCCCAAGATGAACCGGTGGACAATCCCCTCTTTTGAGGGTGAATGTTATGTGCATGGATTTAGCTGCACTTGCCTTTATTTGCCATTTGTTTAGCCAGGTGTTGATCTCATTCAGTCCCCTCTGTAAGTCCTGTGATGCAGCCGTTTGATCTTTATTGCAGGCGATTATCGCAGTATCATCTGCGTATGTAGCTATGGTAACCCCCTCCACATCCGGTAGATCCGCAGTGAATAGCGTATACAGTATCGGACGCGGTTCTGGTGAGGCGTTTCTTCTTGCGTGTGGTGGGGTTGTCGTTTTTTCTGTAGTACCAGGAGTAGGAGGTGCCGACGCTGAGGTTCGCGGAAGATTTATGGAGGTCATATTTTCCATATTTCATGGTGCAGAGCGTGACGGAGTGTAAAACACGTTTGAGAGACTGCAGCAGAGTGCAGTGATCGAGCGCATATCGTTCCGAGCGGGCGAGCGCGCCTGCGCCTGATGCACCTGCTTGCATTGACTCGGCGCGTTCGTGACTGCCGCCCGCTGGACCCGGTGCATGCGCACTACTTACATTTCAATGGCATATTTACTTTTCAGAGCGCGTAATGGCGCGTTAGATGGAGAGCCATGCATTTTTCTTGAGCTAATCGAGTGTGACGTAACAATTGATGTGTGGCCTACTTACATTGTTTGTCCTTGAGATGTACCGTAAGATTATGTGCGCAATGAATGGGTGCATGTTATATTGTTTCAGTTAACATTCATATTATTTTCATTAAAATATGTTTCACGAGTAAAAGTCGAGTTCATGTGAACTCAACATCCCTAATTGGGTAAACTAAAGAATTTCAGGAAGTTGACACTCGTGAGAAAGTTAGATGAGTGGGGGCTACGTTATAAATAAACGGTCGACATTACAGCTTGCGGTCGGTAGTCGATTGAATCGCAAATAGTGGCACATGATCATGACCGTTTTTTATCGATTTTGTGGTCGACGGATCATAAAAAAAAAGAAATCACGGAAAATAAGGTAAAACGCAGGACTATGTGTTTAAGTAAATTTGTTTTATGGCTCTATAAAATACACCTACCGCGCTTTCGCGTTCCTCACCACTTATTTTGTCTGAACCAGTGACGTCTACTCAGTCATTATCACGGGCTGTTGTGTCCTCCAAGTATGTACTATCTTTACTCATGTACTATGCTCATGCCATGTGATTCAAGTCGAGGATGGAACCCTGATCTTACACGTAGTCTCGTTACGTTTGAAGCAGATGCATTTGCGCATCCTTGCCACTTGACTTCTGAACAACCCGGTTCAGATGTCTTAAGCGCAAGGATAATGGGCTGAAATATCCTCCAAGCACTACTATGTCTATGGTAGGTGTACTCACGTTGAGGATGGAGCCCAGCTCCTGCACGTAGACCCGTTCTGTCTGCAGCAGTTCTGCCTGAACATGTCCACGCCGAGACCGCCGCGCCTCCGCGTCCTCGCCGCCTAAACTCTCTGAACCTCCTGACGTCATCACAGGCTGTACAATATGCGAAAGGCAGGTGTACTCACGTTGAGGATGGAGCCCAGCTCCTGCACGTAGACCCGTTCTGTCTGCAGCAGCTCGGGCAGAACATGTCCACGCCGGGACCGCCGCGCCTCCGCGTCCTCGCCGCCTGAACTCTCTGAACCTCCTGACGTCATCACAGGCTGTATTATATGCGAATGGCAGGTGTACTCACGTTGAGGATGGAGCCCAGCTCCTGCACGTAGACCCGTTCTGTCTGCAGCAGTTCTGCCTGAACATGTCCACGCCGAGACCGCCGCGCCTCCGCGTCCTCGCCGCCTAAACTCTCTGAACCTCCTGACGTCATCACAGGCTGTACAATATGCGAAAGGCAGGTGTACTCACGTTGAGGATGGAGCCCAGCTCCTGCACGTAGACTCTTTCTGTCTGCAGCAGCTCGGGCAGAACATGTCCACGCCGGGACCGCCGCGCCTCCGCGTCCTCGCCGCCTGAACTCTCTGAACCTCCTGACGTCATCACAGGCTGTACAATATGCGAAAGGCAGGTGTACTCACGTTGAGGATGGAGCCCAGCTCCTGCACGTAGACCCGTTCTGTCTGCAGCAGCTCGGCCAGAACATGTCCTCGCCGGGACCGCCGTGCTTCCGCATCTTCGCCGCCGGAGCTCTCTGAACCTCCTGACGTTTCCATCTGCGACAAGAGAAAGTTAAACGTAAACATCTAGCTTCGTTATTCCTGTCGTTAGTCGATCGATAAGATCTCTATCGGGAAGGATACATGAGTAGTTCGAGCGATAATTACACGCTAAAAAGCTAAAAGGAATAAATTAGCACCATAAGCTTTATTAAAATTGATAGTCCTTCCTCATACTGTTTTCTCTCTTGATAAAAATTAATATATTCTTAACGTCTCTACTTAATAAAATAATTAACTTTTAAAAAAAATAAAATCGACTTCAAATGCGTGAACACAAAAAAAAACTAAAAATTGAAAATATTGCGTATAAAAAAGTTCATCCCCAATTTTCCACCCTTGGGGGTGAAATATTTTCTTCAAATTCGCATGAAACCACCCTTTTGATAATACCTATTCAACAAAAAAATAATCGTTCAAATTGATTTATAATCGGCGGAGATATTGCGTATAAAAAAGTTCATCCCCAATTTTCCACCCTTGGGGGTTGTTTTTTCTATTATTAAATTTAAATGGGACCACCCTTGAGGTATTACCTATACGCAGAAAAAAGAATTGTTCAAATCGGTTCATAATTGGCGGAGTTATCGCGTAACAAACATAGAAAAAAAAAACATACGGGTCGAATTGAGAACCTCCTCCTTTTTTTGAAGTCGGTTGATTATACAAAGTTTACGATTATAGTCGATGAGTTCTAAGGATACGAGAACCCAATAACATATGGAAAAATATTGAAAATTCCACATAATAAAAGCTCAGTTAAAGCTCATAGTTTATTGGCAATAAAACTTTTATGCATTAAAAATTACAGCTTCAATAAGAAGATTTTTCTGAGCAGATTATGGGGCAGCCGTTACATGTAAAATGCATTATGGACAGGTGATACTGTGATGCATATTGATAAACCTATTTTCTTCCTGTGTTTAGAATAGCTACTAGTAGAACGTTACTTTATCCATGCCATATCTGACCTTTCCTTAAATGACTAGTAAAATCTTGTGGCTTTCGGAATACATTCACGTAAAATAATGCTAGCTTAAAAATATTATATCCGATATCATATTATAACACCAAGTATTAAAGCTAGTAGTAAAAGTTGCTGAGTACGAAACCTTTTATGAATGCGTGCGTAAATGCCAAAGCGTCGGTTTATTAAAGTTTATATCTTGCTTAGGTATTCCTCGGCCACACAACCATTAGGTGGATGTGGTAGTCTACAATTACCATTAGCCTTACTACCACAGCTGGTAATTTGAACGAAGTTTTCCGTTAAAATAGCTTCACATGTGAGGCAGGTGGCGGGACATCCAGTCAATTTTACATTAACGGAACTGTGTATGATTTATTACGCAATATCCTAACGATTTCTGGTTTATAATTTAATGTTTACGAAATTATTTTTGAAATTTTGTTGCAGTGTTGTGCTTGTGATGTTGTCAACTTTGACATGTTTTTTTTTATAGAATAGCACAGATTTATATTATTAGATTTAACATAGAGGTGAAGCCAAATAAGTTTTTCGCAGATAAATATTATATTGCTTTTGAAAACCCATTTCTACGTAAACCTGAAACAAGTATGTAAAGTAGCTGATGATCTATAAAAAGACCATGGAATTTTGCTAATATTAACGTACTTTTGCATACCTGCATGTTTTTATAAAAATATGGTCAACGTCTCTATGTTTAACTATGTATTTAACTAGTAATTTCGTAGCTACATCTACGCAGCTACGTTATCTACTCGTATTTAGTAAAAAAATGATTTATTTTTCATTATTATTTAAAAAAATATGAACGTAAAATGTGTAACTCATGTATGAAATGCCACGAATTCTCTACATTATGTTGTTTTTCCTCAGTAGTAAATAAGTCTATAATTATTATTTAAGACTCTACTTCAGTAATAACTTACAGGTCTATGCTGCTCCGAAAAATCCTTGATGATGTTGTATCCCGTTTTCAACATGATGTTTAGAGCATCCATTTCTAATGGAAATATTTGTCATTTGCACATTTCAACACCATTTAGTTATTTTGTAACACAACACATAAAACACAAGTCACAAATCGGAGCCATAAAATCACTTTATAAATGCCGTTTGTTTACCACAACACTGTTTAAAAAACGTCCTAGCGTTGGTTTAAAAATAGTCCAATTTTCTTGAGATTACCAAAGCTTTCCCGCGTAAAATTATTAAAATTAACTTCCAATTTCTTAGCTATCACCATCTGAATTTTAAAAAAAGAAGAGTTTTTTCTATGTCACATAAACTTTCTTAAGATTTTCGGTTCAAGAAAACCACGACACTCAAAAGAAGCTTGCAGCCCTGCGCACATGCTGCGTCTGTTCCGAACAAGGAACTGGCGGGATGCAGGGGGCGCGGGAATACGTTGGGCCGTAAAAAGTGGTTGCCTCCACTTTTGTGCGGTGGCACTGCCGCGGCAGATGCTCTACTATAAATTAAGTGCTATTTTATTGTTTTATATTTAAAGATACACAATTTCTCTTGAGTGTTTGTTTTAAATTCAGTTAGTGGCATTTAGAAAAAATATTCTGATATTCGCTAATGTAATTAATTATCAGTTGTTGAATCAATTAATACAATTTAGACAAGAATTGACTGAAGATTTAATCTAGCGATAATTTCTGATAGCGCCATTGATGAAAAAAACGTTTCAAAAATAATACGTGATAGGAATATTCCATGATCGTTGGACTCTACGTAAAAATAGCTGTCCTCTATCTAACTGAAGGCTGTCTGGAACTGGAAATATATCTTTAACCGATCACGACATTTTGGTGATGCTCGAAATAGTTTATCGAATAGTAAACGTTTACTTTTCCCATTGCATAGTATAGTCGCTTTAAAATTTTATTTGAACTGTGTGTGATGTTTGTATGTTTCATACGGAATGATTTATAATTTTTCACATCGTTTATTATTTTAAGTAATGTTTACATTTTTTATCGTTTTTCAATTCGATTGCATTGGCGTCTTTTTATGACTTTTATCTACGAGATAACTTTTATCTTTGTATGGGCATTAAGTACATATCTGTCCTGGATACTGGCGATCCTATACCAGTTCGATTTTCAATTCAGATCGCAGTATACCTTCAAGTAGGTCGCTGTGATCGTTCATATTGTCGTGCAACGTTGTCACCCGTCAATCCTTATAGGGATAAGTTATTTTATTGTCCGTCATTGCCTAGATTCGACGACCTAAATCGCATTGCAAAAAGTAGTTTTCAAGTAGAGCATCCTCCCCGACTGACCGTAATAAAGGGCGAGTTACAGGCATCAACTACGATGGTGTACACGTTCAAAACTACAAAATGCCTTAGTGTGCGTCTTTTTCGCACGATGTGGAGCATCACCTGCCAGCCCTACCTTTCGTCTTGCATCTCGCCTATTGATCATACCGTCCGAGGTTCATTGTTTTTTTACCTCAATTCTTAAGAACATCTGTGGCATTGTTTTGTTTCGAGCGGACATGAGTCCACGCACGTGCTACGAATGCATGGTGGGAATAAGAATTTTACTCGAAATGTGTTTATTTAAGAATACAATACGCTTTACATTATGTATGTTTTTCGGTTCTCACAATACAAAGGGACTGGAAAGAAAACTTTTGGGGTTTTAAATGGAAGAGTTTTGTGGTTTTTGTCACATAATCAGTATGTAAATACATACATACGTTTTAAGTCAAATGAAGTACCTAAGAACATGCCGCTATTTAAGCAGTATCAGAAGCTTTTGTAGGTAGTAGATATCCCTTAAAAATTGTCAATGGATACGAAGTTAATCTCGAACCAGTAAAGTATTATAAATTATAATTAAACCAATGAAATAATATAGAAAGTCGATGTCACCATTAAACTTAATTCTCCTGCGAATGTCCGCTGCAAACCCGCTTTACTGCGAGTCAATGATACAACAATCCGTCCGACATGTTTTATTATGAGAACTAATCCTTATTATTTCTTAGATCGAGCTTCGTGTTCTACATTTGTTAATAGATTTTATCAAAGTACATAAATAAGTCTCTTATCGTAATAGGTCATCATTAATAGGTACTATTAATAGGTTTGTGTAGGTAGAGCTTTTAAAGTCGCTCTACAATAGTATCATTAATGAAATTTTTTAGAACTACCCTTTGAGTTTATGTACTATTTATGTACCTAGTTGCATAGTGGGTTATAATTCTACACGAATATGTCAACAAGTTATAGAAATTATACCAGAAAAGTTTACTTTGACGACACTTTTATTTCGTTCGTTTGAACACATGTTTCGTGTGGTTCAAAGCCGGATATGGAATGTAAGGGACCGACATGACACTTGATATATTTAATAAGTCAATAAATCAGCGGGGCATATGGCGTTTATGATCGCGACCCCGTCTGCGCGTGCACTTGAACTGATTGACCATTTAGCAGGCGGTGCGCGAGCGCTGTGATTCATCCATACAGGCGACAGCACATTAGATTGTACATTTTTGTTGTAAAATCGCACCTATTACAACCCAATAAGATGCCACGATGTTTGGCTTGATAAGATGTCGTCTGTACTATACAATCCCTGATACGCGAATGTAGAGCTTATGGTATGAAGAATTAATGTGTGTCGAGATTTAAAACTACATTGAATCAGTCTCTTAGCGTCTAAATTAGACCCTTTTTAAAATCAAATTAAACTGCAATCACTGAGCTGAATGTATTTACGGCCAGTAAAATTATAGTAATTCAAGTAAGCAGCATTACTTATGGTAGAGTATGGTAATACCAGTAATTTTAAAATGTTTGCTTCTTTTATTTATTCTGTTCCATTATTACAAGCCTGTCACCAATGGGTTTCCACATAAAAGTACAAAATCCCTCCGGCAAAGCCAAATATAAACTTGATACATGCAAAAAGGGATACGAAAGTTAAACGAAAGGATATAGGAGTAGCTCAAGTCAATAAACTTCCAATTCCCTTGGGTGGAAATCTCA